ACACGTGTTGCGTAACGCGTTGCCCATGCGTGTAAGGGGAATGAACTTCTAGGCAGTAGTGTAGCTTATATTTTTTGAACAAACATTCCGTTTTGTCATATTTTCATTCAGGGTATGATAACATTCCAATCTCATTAAAATAAGATCTTAGTTCTCGCTACCACCACTTTGTTTTGCGGTAGTACAAAGATTTTAATTATGTTGAAAAAAATCGATTAGGCTAACAGAATTTAAAGTTTTTCCGATACATGTTTTGTCTAAATATGTCTTGAATAGATATAAAATGAGATCGGTTATTTGTTTATTATAACCTGTTTGAAATCACATTTATATAAATCAAATAAAAAAGCAGAATTCTAAATGTATGTGTATCATAGGAATGTGCTTGATGTTCAAACCTATAAGGCTTTGCAAGTGAAAGGAAATCCACGTCATTATTCATTAACTTGATAAAAGATGGATAAGCCTGAAAGTAGCTTGAACGTAGCTTGCATGCAAACTTGCCGGCATTGCACACGGTATACAAGCTACAGGAATCAAATGTCCATTACATTGTCAGGGATTCAATAACACGTGTTTTCGAAGTCCTTTCATATGGAATTTGTTTTGTAACTTTTATTGTATTATCCAGATAGCTGTTAGGTAGTTTATTGGTCCCCAAATATTTAAATATATTCAACACAACATCCTTGTTTGAAATACTGTCCAATTACTGAGAGGTATTGGCTTAAAGGTATAGAACCATGTGACACAATAATGCAGTGTCATGGTAACGGGGGTTACTTATAGGGATGCGCGCTGTGACAAGTTGCAGTTCCTATCCAACATTCCACATCAGTGTTTTCCGTCTTAATCATCAATGATGTCGAGACTGGGTGTAGCTGCTCTCCTTTTTGGGGAGTCCAAGTGTTTGTATATTCACATCCTGCCAGGAAATAGCTCATCCGATGGCATTAATTGTTATAACACATGACTTACTAAATCGTCACAAAATTTTACAGATTTTTCTACTTTACTGCTGCTGAGAGAGGCTCAAGATTTTGAATGATGTTTTTAGAATTTATTTAACAAATTCTTATTTCAGAATTTATTGGCGGCCTAAATACAATACCTGGGGACATGACATATATAGATTTCAATGAAAAAAGTTATTCTGAAATATAATAATGCATCTTTCAATACATATTCATGGAGACATTTCCTCGAATTTGAGGTCGTGATTCACCGTTTGCACGCGCAATAATTAGGCCGCAAAATTAGAATATTTGCTTGTTTGTTGGGAGCATGATACTCACACGTGTTTTATTTATGTGAGCAGCACACATGGATTACTTAGGTATCAGGTGCTCATTATAACACTTTTGTTTAACCGTAAATAGCGCTTACGCAATTCCACGGCTTGCTGCAAATCAACGTCTCCGCGCCGTGGGTATGTTGCAAACGGGAATAGCGTAAAACGAAGCTCCCTGACATTATAATGTTCATCGAAACACAATATTATCTCTTTGGAAACGTTATCTACAGCAGGGCAACGTCAACAAGACAACCATAGTCGGATGGTGCATCTACGGTATCGATACCAAACTGCCACAGCTCGGGATTTCCTGTCTTGAGACCAGTTAGTGGCAGACCCGTACAAAAGCAGTAGCAGGAGCACAACTTCCGGCCCCGACGTCCAGTGGTACGCCCAAGTTTGCTTCCACTTCACCGTCAGGCACGCCAAGCTTGGTGTAGACAGCATCTAAGGTTCAGATGACAAGACTTCTTCACAGATGAGCCCATGATTCACCTGCATGGTTCCCCAGCAGGATTTACACAATCCTTCTGGCTACTGTCAAAATAAGGAACTGCATGGGACATTATTTTTGTCACTGATGCAACAAATTTGGAAATGTCCTCCCTGTGTCTACCATAAAACCTATAGAAAGCTTTACTGTGGCCTTGAATGTTGTAACCTTAAAAAGAACTTGTGAACAAGAGTCGTTGTTCAGTTTTGTGAACATTTTAGGCATTCAGTATTGAGACCGTGTTTTCTGAACATTTTAGGCATTCAGTATTGAAGCCGTGTTTTGTGAACATTTTAGGCATTCAGTATTGAAGCCGTGTTTTGGGAACATTCAGGCATTCAGTATTGAGACCGTGTTTTGTGAACATTTAAGGAATTCAGTATTGAGACCGTGTTTTGTGAACATTTAGGCATTCAGTATTGAGACCGTGTTTTGTGAACATTTTAGTCATTCAGTATTGAAGCCGTGTTTTGTGAACATTCAGGCATTCAGTATTGAGACCGTGTTTTCTGAACTTTTAGGCATTCAGTTATTGAGACCATGTTTTGTTAACATTTAAGGCATTCAGTATTGAGACCGTGTTTTGTGAACATTTTAGGCATTCAGTATTGAAGCCGTGTTTTGTGAACATTTTAGGCATTCAGTATTGAAGCCGTGTTTTGGGGACATTCAGGCATTCAGTATTGAGACCGTGTTTTGTGAACATTTAAGGCATTCAGTATTGAGACCGTGTTTTGTGAACATTTAGGCATTCAGTATTGAGACCGTGTTTTGTGAACATTTTAGTCATTCAGTATTGAAGCCGTGTTTTGTGAACATTCAGGCATTCAGTATTGAGACCGTGTTTTCTGAACTTTTAGGCATTCAGTTATTGAGACCGTGTTTTGTTAACATTTTAGGCATTCAGTATTGAGACCGTGTTTTGTGAACATTCAGGCATTCAGTATTGAGACCGTGTTTTGTGAACATTTAGGCATTCAGTATTGAGACCGTGTTTTCTGAACATTCAGGCATTCAGTATTGAAGCCGTGTTTTGTGAACATTTTAGGCATTCAGTATTGAAGCCGTGTTTTGGGAACATTCAGGCATTCAGTATTGAGACCGTGTTTTGTGAACATTCAGGCATTCAGTATTAAGACCGTGTTTTGTGAGCATTTTAGGCATTCAGTATTGAGGCCGTGTTTTGTGAACATTCTAGGCATTCAGTATTGAAGCCGTGTTTTGTGAACATTCTAGGCATTCAGTATTGAAGCCGTGTTTTGGAAACATTCAGGCATTCAGTATTGAGACCGTGTTTTGTGAACACTGGAGATATTCAGTATTGTTGCTGTTTGTTGTGAACATTTGAAAGATTCAGTATTATTGTTGTGTGTTGTGCTCGATTACAATTTCAACTTACAACTGTGATCGTGAAGTACTGAAACATTAAAGTTTGTGGTCTTGTAACATAGAAGACTGCAGATGATTTGTGCACTGAGTACATTCAGTACTGGCAACTATGGTGTGTATTCTGTAGTTCAGATACGAGTTAGTGATGATATCTTTAACCAAGTGCAATTTTTTTTTAAAACTGTCATCATCATGTGCCATCGGGTTCAAGGCATAGAAATACTTATAGATCACTTAGACATGCTATTTATCTGTTTAACCCGTAAGAAACGGTATTTAGCAACCCATGCCTGTGAGAGGCGACTAGTGGGATCAGGTGGTTAGGCTCTCGGACTTGGTTGATGCATGTCATAGTATCCCAACTGCGTATTTCGGTGTCCATGATGTCAACCACTTGATTGGGTGGTCCAGACTCTATTATTTACAGACCGCTGAAATATTGTTGAGTCCGGCGTTAAACAACAAACAAAAAGACAAAACAATGTGTGTTTGACAGTTAATAAATAATCATTACCGGATATAATGTGTGGTGGAATGTCCCTCAGACTTGAATATTCTTTATGTCAATAACATGAGATTTAGATTAAAAAGTATATCCTATCTTATAACATGTAAAAGGAAATAAGTAGAACGAACCAAACCAATTGTGAAAACATACTTTTTGGAAGATTTGATCATTGGACCTCTTAGTTGATTGTCTGCAACCTCAGACACTTGGAGCAGACTGTTAGTTTGGTTTATGGTGAGCTGTGATCAAGTGAATAAAGCGTCCGCCGGGAGCGGAAGGTCGGTGGTTCGTTCCCCGGCCACGACATACCAAACCACGTTACAATACAGTACTTGATGTTACTGTGCCTGGCGCTCGGCAATAAGGACTGGTCGACTTAGGGTGAGTATACTGTGTCTGAGTGGGGTGTACATGTAAAAACTGCGACATGCTATCTCTAGATAGCACTATAAAACTGCGGTATGCTATCTGAGTGGACTAGCTAACACTATAAAACCGGCATAAGTCCGAAATAGCACACACACACACACACACACACACACACACACACACACACACACACACACACACACACACACACACATGGATGAACATCGCTATACTACTATACTATATTCTTGAACGCGATGTCAATCCCTGTTTCAACACACCTCACCTCGTATACAATGTACATGTAGCCCGTATTTATAGGCTGACTGTGGGCGACCTACTTGTATTGATACTTAATCACCGCAACAGATAGCATATATTTGTATAAGCCAGGCAGTAAATGGTATAATAACCGAGCGTCTGACATGTAGACCTGTCACTCACACAATTATGTGTGCGCCTATTGACCTGACTTTTGACCAAGCTTTATATACAAATACAAAATATTTGTGATTATGTTGATTTTACCAATTAAGATTTTATCTTTAAAATTTGGAAGCAACAGATTACTCAAACCTCTTTTTCATTTTGAAGATGTAAAAGCGAATACTATAATTAATTAATTAATTAGTCCCCAAATTCGCTGTCAAATGTTTCTTAAACGAATGTATACTTTCACTCCTAGAAGAAGTGCAAAGCATTTGAAAGCGAAAAAAACTTGAGATGTGACTTTAGTAGGCTCTCTCCGGACTTGTTTTGATTTGTGGGTTGATGTGTAGCCAAGTTTTAGATCAGTCTGTGAAAAACATGCAATCCATATTTTCAAAAAAATAATCAATTTCGCTTATCTTGCCTGGTCACTTTTCGCCTTGGATTCTGTTTAGGTCATATATCGGAGCATGTCCGGTAACAGTACCCGTACAAGGAAACATAATCCACACAATGACCTCGTTGTAGCGCTATCACGTGATTGTGGCCGCTCGTCAGTGTTGATATTGAATGGTCTTCTTGAACAATTTTACTTGAACCTAGTAGAGTGGACACCATGGAAACGGGTACAGGGTGTCGAGGCGTCAACCTCATCAAAGGAGTCGGTGATGTCGTAATAACATTACTCAGTAAGTGGCAATACCTGTATTGTATGTATAGACACCCACACACCGAGTAGGTACACAATACAGACTTAGCTTTACGCTTCACGTGATATGTTATATATACGAGTGCATGGGTTTGAAAATGATACAACATGTTTGAACCATTATTCAAGGATATGGATAAAATAATGTCAGATTATGGTGATAATCGCTGTCACTGTTATATGTTCTTGTTGGTTGGTTGGTTGGTTGTTTAACGCCGCACTCAGCAGTATTCCAGCCATATGACGGCGGTCTGTAAATAATAAAGTCTGGATCAGACAATCCAGTGATTGATGAGCGATCTACGCATTTGGGATACGATGAGATGCATCAACAAAGTCAGCCAGCCTGACCATCCGATCCCAATAGTCGTCTCTTGTGACAAGCATGAGTTGCAAAGGACCAATTTTTCTAACCCGGGGACCGTTATATGTATAGTTTATTTTCTGTTTTGTATTAGTTTTCATTTGTCATTAAGCTGTTTGGGCACACCAGAAACCTATGGTTGTGGGTTCGAATCCCGGTTCGCCACGATTATGTTTCTAGGTTTGTCAGCACCATACTCGTGCTTGTGTGTTTCACCGAAGTGGTAAACGTCTAAGATCTTCATCACTTGGGGCTTTCCTCCCACATAAAGCAGACACGCCGTGATATGACTGGAATACTCACAACACAACTCACTCACTCATTGTATGAAATCACATATATCCATGGCAAACATGTGAAATATGGTCAACATGTGAACACGCCTAATATATACACAATATGATCCACAAAATATATTTTGGCATGCAGAACTTGAAAAAGCGCAATCAATCTCAATGAAATGGAAAGGAGCAAAATTTCAAAATTACTTATTCTATAGGCTTGGTGAAATGAGAGTCACCCTCTTAGAATCATTTATCTTTTTAATCTTTACAAAGTGCACACCGAAACATCTTGATGAGGGCTCCGTGGCACACTTGAAAAATTACATTTCTATCCCTGGATCTTTTCAAAAAGACCAATATTCTTCTCCGCTTCACTTTAGAAAATTCAAACAGCAAAAAATGTATACATTAATAATATTTATTCAGAATATTCTGTGTGTGTTAGATTACTGTGTGGTTAGTCAGGTAAAATACATTCTCGGTACTTTATCGATATTATACAATGTCTTTCCTCTGTATTTATCTGAATAAACTTAATTTACCGAAGTAGTTCAAAACGATCTTTTTTGCAGTGTTGCTGGTGCTCGGCCTCTTTGAAAAATATGGTGTTCCATTCCGGCAAGGATTCTTCTGTGACGATGACACGATCAAGTACCCGTACAAACAAAGCACCATATCTGTCGCATTATTGTTAATAGTATCGATAGTTATACCCCTAGCAGTGGTAAGAAGTTCCAAATGGGTGTATATTCAGGGTATTGCCGTGGGCATTCAGCTACCATGTCTGTATGTCTGTAAACGACAGCTTGGATTGTCAATTGTGGGTTCAAATAGCACGCTTTTATTGTAGTGCTTGTCTAGATATGTTTTATCGTATTGATTGTTTTATTTTGCGTCTGTGATAGTTACCTACTATTTGATTGTATATTTATGTTTTAGTTAATGTATAATATGCTATTCACATCTTACCTCAAATTTGCTGAGTAAGGCGTCAACAAAGAACACACACAGACACACAGACACGCACGCGCGCACACACGGACACAGACACACACACACACACAGACACACATTTTCTGGTAAACTACAAAAGTTGCTACTTGTTGACAATGTAACTAGAACATCTGTTTCTAGAATATTACAATGAACTTGGCATTCTCAGGCTAAAACATGTCAAAACTGTACGTCTCTATATGTGGGCCGTAATTTCGAAAGAGACGTTAAACCCCATGTCACATCACCTCATTATAAATTACCTACACATTGTTCATTTACAGATGGCCATGTGGGATGTTCTTTTCAAAGTATATACACTACGTGGATCCGTGACGTGCCGGGTGGCGCTGAGAAGCGTCTATGATGCCATCCTCGTGTTCCTGTTCGGTGCTGCTCTCACCTTGGTCATCACCGACATCGGCAAGTACAGCATCGGGCGTCTAAGGCCGCACTTCATCTCTGTATGTCAGCCCGACCTGAATACCGTCTGCGCGGAGGGATACGCCCAGGACGATGCTTGTCAAGGGTCCGACGCTCAGAAAATTGCAGAGGCCAGGTTATTATTACGTCTAGTTAGGATAAAAAAAATGGGCACAGTTGGTCAGTGGTTAAAAGTTTGGTTTCATGGCAGTCAGCCATCCCAGCTATATGACGGAGACCTGTATAATATTCGCGTCCGGACCAGGAACACAAGTGATTGAAATCATGAGCAACGATCTACCTCATCGAGGGATCCTTTGTACAGCGCGCCAATCAGGCAGCGTAGGTAGCGGAGTGCAGATGGATGGGTGACCGTGTTCGGCACGTTTGACTCCTGAGCTTCTAGAGCTTCAGTCCTGCCCACCCTGAAGCCCGTCTCCTTAGTTAAGTGACATTGTTCGATATGTGCCTTTGTTCACCCATCAGTGAATGGGTACCCAGTAGGGTGAGATCGATGGGAGTGTGACTGTTAACCTCCCAACGCCTCACAGACAGCTTGGTTGTATGCTCCCCAGGGAATGAAAATCGAGTGCACACTGATCCTTTGACCGGGGTAGTAAAGGTTTCGTTAACGCCATGAGAAACCACTTGGTGAATGGAATCTGTCGCATTACGTATCCTGCCCCACCGGTGGTGCCCGTCACAAACACATTCAATGGGAAGTCAATTATTCACCTGAAACAAACCACGATAAAACTTTTTGAAAGCTTTACTGAGACCTTGAGTGTTGTAACCGCGAGCAAGAGTCGTACTACGCTCTTTGAAATCTTCGTAGAAAGCGCATGCTACACTGTACCTCAAACGTTGTGAAATGTGGACTCTAAGGGCATGACCTGGTGGAATATTGCTCGACAGCAAGGAATCCCTTGATTCCTCCAAGGTAATTGTTGAGCAAGACCTTGATTTCGCCAATGTAGTTCTTGGTCCCAGTCCAAACCACTCAACCCGTGAAGATCCGGTGTAGAATTGGTCTTCAGCAACACATGCTTGCCGTAAAAGGCGACTATTCTTGCTGTAAGAGGCGACTAACGGGATCGGGTGGTCAGGCTCGCTGACTTGGTTGATGCATGCATCGTATTCCAATTGCGTACATCGATGCCCATGATGTCAATCTGTGGATTGTCTGGTCCAGTCTCTATTATTTACAGACCGCTGGAATATTGCTGAGTCCGTCGTTAAACAAAACACAAACAGACAAAAAATGTGTGTTTGACAGTTATAAATAATCAATGTGTGATAGAATGTCCTTAAGACTTGACTATTCTTTACGTCAATAACATGAGATTTACAGACCGCCGTCATATGGCTGGAATATTGCTGAGTGCGGCGTTAAACAACCAACAACTAACAACCAACCAAACCACAGCCTTGACATTGCTCACTTATCACTGTATTCTTCATTGCAACACGGCAGTCCAAATTATAGCACAATTTTCTATATTTCAGACTTTCTTTTCCATCAGGCCATGCATCAATTTCCTTCTTCGGGATGACGTACTTTGCGGTGTGTATCTATCTATATTACCCGTTTTCTTAAAATAGTCATACGAGATTCAGTGTCAGGATCGCAATACAGAGTACACGGAATTTAAATCGAATGAAATAACCTGTCAAAGTTGTTGGATTACGTTATTATTCAGTTTATGTTTTAAGATCTTACAATGCCCACTATAAAGACAAATAAAAGCGGCGAAACCATTTCCCTATTCATAAGAAATCTCTCCCAAAAGCAGAATTTATTGTTCGATTACGACTATATCATGAGACGAAATATATGAAACATATCAAATAGTGATGATACCAGGGTGCTGTTGTACAAAACAACCTAAGGGCTAAGATGATAGTAAGCCTATGTTCAAGTATGGGAGTTAAGATCACCTTTGCGCTAAGATCGCCTTGTACAATGGCACCCAGCTATTCGCGAAGGGGTGGCACCCGTCACAAACACATGCAACGCAAGTCAATTGTTTACATGCAATGATGCAGACTTTTTTGGAAAAAAATTTAAAACGTTACCCTTGCAAATGTAACAGAGATACAATTTGCATCAACATTCTTCACACTATTAACCTACAGGTGTTCCTGTACGACCGGTTACCTAAATCAGGCCCAAGTCTCCTGAAACCGCTTGCCATGGCTCTGGTGCTGAGCGTGGCGTTCTACATCTCCCTGTCACGTGTCTTCGACTACTGGCACCATCCTTGGGACGTCATATTTGGCGCTGTTCTTGGAGCGTCTGTAGCTCTAATTTTGGTAAGTCTTACAGTGTACCTATATGGGGTGATGCTTTATTTATGAAATCTCAAATTGAACTTGTGTCATTTTCTTACAAGATAGAAAATGAATGAATTTGATTCTTTCTTCATAACTGCATGGTGCTGGGTGTGTTTGGAAGTCAATAAGTCTTTACTTTATGTTTCATTGAGTAAATACCCATGAAGATCCGGAACAGAAAGTGTCTTCAGCAACCCATGCTTGCTGTAAAAGGCAACTACGCTTGTCGCAAGTGGCGGCTAACGGGATCGGGTGGTCAGGCTCGCTGATTTGGTTGGTGCATGTCATCGTATCCCAATTGCATGGATCGATGCTTATGATGTCAATCACTGGATTGTCTGTTCCAGACTCGATTATTTACACAGACCGCCGTCATATAGCTGGAAAATTGCTGAGTGCGGCGTTAAACAACAAACAAACAAAAAAGGCAAGTGGTCCCAGGTTAAGCGAAGAATCTGCTCCAGTCACGCCAGCTGTTTACATCATTACGTGTTTTGGTTGCTGCAGGGCGTCTTTGTTGCGAAGCTGCGCCCGACGTCCAACAACAAGGATGCTGTCGACAGTCGACCTACAATTGCGACCGTTACATGAAGAGTGAGCCGCAAACTGTTATCAAGTCGGGAAGTGTTGTACATTGAATCTCCATCTCATTAAATCAGATCTTATTTCTGGCTATCGCAAATCAAAGATCTGAGGACATCGCATTACGGGTCACGTCAGGTCGACCTTTCATCCAACCATTCAGAGCGTCGCTTACCAGATCCGGACAGTGACAGTCGGAATGTATTTTCTAATCATACAACCTCGAAATATTTAAAACGGGGTATTCCAAACGAAATTAACGGGCTTAACGGCTGAATCCATACAATCTAGGCCATCTTTAACCCTTTCCAGAATGATATTTTGATCTGTTTTTAAACTTTTAATCGAGAATTTGTCAAAATATGTTTCGTAGCGTAGTCGCCTATTTGAAACTAGTGCCATAAAGCACGAGAAAGCTGCCTTCTGATTGGCTAATGTCGACTTCTTGTAAGTCATTCCACCAATCTCATTAAAATCAGACCTCTGTTCACGCTACCGCTAAACAAAGATCTGAGGACATCCCGTTAGGAGTCACGTCAGAACGACCTTTCATCCGACCAATCAGAGCATCGCTTACCAGATTATGAAAGTGACAGTCGGAATGTGATTTCTAATCATGCAACCTCGAAAACTTTAACTCCGAACGATAGTTACGGGTTTAACGACTGAATCCATACAATCTAGACCATCTATTAGCCATTCCAGAATGTTCTTTTGTTCAGGTTTCAAATTTGTAATGGAGAATTTGTCAAAATATGTTTCGAAGCGTAGTCGCCAATTTGAAATTAGTGCCGTAAAGCACGAGAAAGCTGCCTTCTGATTGGTCATTCCATTGGTCGGTCAAAGTTCGCACAAGGTCGGTCTGACGTGACCCGCAATGGGATTTCACGGAGTATTCCAAACGACAGTTACGGGATTTCGACTGAATCCGTCAAAATCATCGTCTGTCTCTTGCTTCGATAGGACAAACATTTGAAGTGAAGACACTCTGCATTGTCAACGGGAAGTACTGCCATACAATCTCGGTGATCTGATAGACATTCCAGAATGTTCTTTTGTTCAATTATCCAATTGTGAATTGAGAATTTCTCAAAACATTTTTCAAAGCGTAGTCGCGAGTTTGAAACAAGGGCCGTATAGCTCGAGATAGCTGCTTTCTACTTGGCCAATGTCGACTTCCTCTTAGTCATTTAATTGGTCGGTCAAAGTTCGCGAAAGGTCGTTCGGACGTAACCTGTAATGGGATGTCCTCAGATCTTTGTTTTGCGGTAGCAATGACTAAAATCTGATATTAATGACACTGAATGAATCTGAAAATGACATAAAACGTCAACGCCAGAGAATAACCTCGATTATCCATCGAAACAGATTCATTGGGCGTTACAAGCGTAACGGGAAAAATAACGGGAAAATTATCTGAACAGATCACTGAAAATCAGTGATGACACCAGGACCCACTTGCACAAAGCGATCTTAGCGCTAAGACTACCGTAAGCCTATGTTAAAGTATGGGGGTTAAGATCATCATAGCGCTAAGATTGCTTTGTGCAAGTGGGCCCAGGTGTTCGCGGAATTAACGTTTTGATACTCCACTGCTTGTTTCTATATTACATGTTGGGTGACAGTTAAATGTTTTTACACAGTATCAGTGAATAGTCCCTCACTAATGAGTAAAATGGTATGGACGCCCATAAAAGAATGTTTCTTGTCAGATACATTTTTCACCTTGTTCTCAGTAGGCAGTAAACCCACAAATCCAAATCAAACATTGCGGCATAAGTACGACAAGGTAAGATACCTACAATGTTAAAATCCAGTCATTAAAAAGTTACATTCATGGAACTGATATTTAAACCCAAGGTTTTACAGGACAAAACCAAATACGCCTGACAGCCCCGAAACAAATCAAATTACCAACACGATAATGATGAATATGTGTATAAAATTTCCTTGGTATCACATATATTAATACGCCATTGGCAGTTCGCTTTGACGGGGTTATTATTGATTACCGTATTATTGTCATTACCCCACGTTGTGGTACTCACCCATTATATAGCCATTATTACTAATCTTCAAATTTACACATTCAAAGGTCATTTCCTTTAAATATGTAAATTATTAGGAAGAACGTATATATAGTTATTCTTGTAATGAAAGGACATTTTACGTCTCTACAAAATACACCGATTTCATGGAATACCATATATATTTAAAGGGGGACTTTGTTTTCCGGTCTGCAGGCTGGCGATCCAGATCTGTATCACATACCGTTACCTGTGTGGAACTGTGCCCATCTCACTGTGATTAGCATTGTCGTAGCCGTATGATTGATATCAATATGTATCATTAACCTTCAGTTAGCAACAGTGTTGTTGTCTATTGACCTGATACAAATTTGCTTGGAGTGCAAATTGACAGCCCCCCTTTACATTAGTAAGTGTGTGAGTTGGATTTAATGATGTTTTGAATAGAATTCCAGTTATATCACGGCGTGTCAGCTTAATGTGGGAGGAAAACCCGAAGTGATGCAGGCCTTAGACGTTTACCACTAAGGTGAATCTCACGAGCACGGGTATGGTGCTGACAAACTGAGAAACATAATTGGGGTGAACCCTTTTAAAAGTAAACATTAGAAATAATAAAAACATCATCATGCAGATTGACCTTACGTGTTCAGTACGTATCGTTTATTACCTCTATTGTGCTGTCCCACATGCGGTCTTTTTTTATGAGATTTATAGCGATTAACCAAAAACTCTCTTATTGAGATAACATAGCATCATTATGTTTATGACAATAAAGTATTTCATGACGCTCTGAATCGTGTCTCTTCCTCATGCTAGGCAACTTCAGTCGCCATTTCAACTTTAGTTGTTTCAGCCGGGGTTTCCTCAACCCTTGCTTCCTCGGGTGAATCCTCCTTCACTTCCGGTTCCTCCTCCGGGCACTGTTGGTCCTCCTCCCCGCCCTGCACCACGTGACACGTATACACGGGGCGGACTTTGAAGAACTGAAATTATATTGATTATAATTCAATTGTTAATTCTAATCAGGTATAAGCAGTACATTCTCTGGCCTGTAAGGGACTGACAATTTGATATTCGGGGGCGGGAAGCTGGGATTTTATCGAAAATTTAATTATCCCCGAATTTTAAAAAAATAATAATTATGCTTCTTTTTTCTTTTTTTAAATCAGGCTCGTAGTTTGAAAAAAATATATCTGGTTTTGTGGCTGTAGCTGAAACATTTCCAATCTCGATACAAAACCTAGGCTGGAATTTCTGGGCTCGTTTCATTTCATTTTCCACAAAATAATATTTCCGATGTGACGCTTCTTCCCACTAAGAACTAGTAGGTAAGAATGTCGGTGGTGTGTGATAGTGTACTGAACAGGGCAGAACAATATTTCATAGTGTCAGTATCATTCACATTGTGTAACTATTTACATTGTGTATTTGTAGTTTGTTTTTGATATTCAATATATCTTACCCCCACGAGTCCAGTCTTTTTGGGTATTTTAAAACCAATGAGTAGACCTTTTTAAAATTTATATTCCCGTTAAGACCCGGGGTAGAATAGGTCTTCAGCAACCCATGCTTGCCGTAAAAGTCGACTGTTTGTCGTAAGAGACGAACCACCCACTCATGAACTCACTCACCACTAACACGGCAATGCTGAGCCCCAGGATGTCTCCGGCCAGGATGTCCTCCCAGTGGTGCAGGTGGTCGTACAGACGGCTGAGGCCGCAGCACAGAGCCATGTAGAACAGTGTGAGCTGCAGTACAGGCCGGAGGAGTGGACAGTCGGACCAGGTCAGGCGTCGCTGCAGGTACAGCTGGACAAACAGATAGACAGGACTGGACGGAGGGACATTTGTTATCGACAAACATCGTAACTGGCTTACAGCACATTAACTACAAATGGGAAAAGCGAAAAATATATTTTGCAACATCATCTATGGCGACCTAATCTAAATTCCATGATCCCTTGAAGAGACTGAAATTCATCGCATTAACTTCCTCGCAAAGTTTCAACTTTCTAGGGTTTATTGGGTTTTTTTAGATGGAGGCGTTAAAATCTTTAATGAACATTAATATTAGTTTTAAAAGATATTTAAAAGCTCACAATACAATCACAACAATTTTAACAAACGTGGATTCCACCATGCGTGCCAAATCTTAGCTTCATCAATATGGTTGTTGTGGCGACCATATTAAAAATAGGATTCGAATTTTTTAACAAATTCAAGTTCCATACATTAAGTTCGTTGAATAAAACTGAAATGTATGACGTTTGTAGTGACTCACTCAATCTTGAGAAGAGGAGAAAGTACTCACGATTAGGAAGACCATGAAATACATAGAGAGGGAGGCGTGACCGGAAGGGAAGGCCACCCTGTGGCGACAACAGATACATGTGGGTGACATGAATCACGACAACAGTTGACATGTTGGAACTAAATTATATCACGGCCGGACAATGCTAGTTTATTATGTGACCAGTGTCCTACGTTATGACCTACGTTTTGACACGTGGTAAGTAAATTCAATCACCAGGCACATCTCTCGTGATAATCTAGCTAGCTCTGTTTGAAGCTGATCCAGAAAGGTTCTTGCAACGATGTTTGACTATGGAGGAAGCCTGGGTTCACCACTTCCAGCCCAGACAAGCCCAAACAAAACAGTAGATTAGTAAGCATATATCACGTATTATCTCAATACTGAAGAGAACTATATTGATAACTTATCATTTGATTGTCTTTAGGTCAAGTCTTTCTAAGTGAGGCTACATCAGTCAATATAATATAATACGTCAACTTCAGAGAATAACCAGTCTTGATATCCGACGAAACAGATTCCATTGGGCCTTTAAGGCAAAATAGAGGTAGAAATCATATGAATGGATCCCTTAAAACAATCTCAACCCTCGTTTCACAGTTCCGTAAGTGGACTCGAATACAATACCAATACAATATGTGCCTTGTCCTATACCGTGCTACGACCGAAAATGAATGTTAAGGTTTAAAATACATATAACGTTGCAAAATGCTTCTGAAAAATATTGAGGTGCGTAATTGTAATTGTAATATCTGGTTTTGCAGCTGTACATAGCTGAATAAAAATAACCAGTCTCATACAAACCCCATGAGGTGTGCCAGAAACCCTTGGTCGCGTGTTGGAAACCTAGATTCGCCCTGGCTACGTTTGTTAGCATCACACCCGTACCCATCAAGCGGTTCTACATCACCTGCTTTCCTCCCACATTAAGCTGATATGCCGTCATACGCGTATGACTGAAGTACTGTTTAAGGCGGCGTAAATCCAAACTCACCAACTCAGATACCACAAAAGGCGACGGTCGTTTTACTTATTATCTGTAGGTCAAAGCTACAACCAGTCAAGTATGTGTTATTTGATAAAAAAAAACTTTTAAATCGGGGTATGCATAAAAATACTAGTAGTTAGAAAAGTTTGACATTTGACAATAAATCAAACTGAATGTATTTTCAGAAAAAAATATTTACCTGGTCTTGTTAATGATATTCTCGTTGGTCTCTGTACAAATGTTCTTTGTAATATACCCGCCATTACGACAGTCAACACTTGACCAATCAGGTTTGCAGACATCAAAGAAATTTGGACGAAGTCGACCAATCACAAACTTCGGTATATTGGTGGTCAGGTGGGTGACAGCGCCTCCAAAGAAGAAAGGAACAATGGCTTCAAGCGACTTCTGTATCATCGACACCCAGAGGGTTCCCCCTTTGTCCTGCTTGGTGATGATGAAGCATTCCACCAAGATCATCTGAAATAGACACCTGGTTAGTTTCACCTAAACGGGCTCTTAGCTGTTTAAGTCATTCAGTAATTCTCTTGTTGCGATTCCGGATTGGATTTGGTCCCCATGAAGTTATGCTTGTCGTAATAAAGACATAATAGATCGATGGGGTGGTGGTCAGGCTCGGTGACTTGGTTGATAGCGTGGCATCGTGCCTCGACGGGGTTGATCGTTCTTCAGGATCACTGGTTTGTCTGGCCCATATTATGTTAGTGACAGGCCACCAAGCCACAAGCAAATGTCTCTTTGAGTTCCAGTACGTTCGATGTGTATTGATTAATACGGCGTTTCAGGGTAAGGGTGTATTGGCGAGTAGGTGTTAATTTGCCTTTTCAATTTAAGGACTGGATTCAAGGGCAGTACAGGAACCCAGTTCCCCATGCTTGTATGATCCGATTTATGAGGATCGGTTGCTGAAATGTGTGACTCGGACAATTATTGTCGCAAAAGGTCATCGTGCCCCGACGTAAGGATCGTTGATCATACTGTCACCCACTGGTCCCGCCCTACCCAGCATATAGCTGGGACATTTCAGACTTTAACGGACGAAAAATAATTTCAAAGTCATTCAGCTCATGTGAACCTGTGTACATTGACAAAGGTAACTGAAACGGGCATAAAATATACAAAAATACCGTCCTAGTATATACTACTCAAGTTTTCATAGGGATGTCCTGAGTACGTGATTGGCTGCTTGGAGAGGGTGTCATGCAAATAGTATCCTATATTAACATGCCACTGGAGCATGTTCAGCTTCATTTAAAGTTAATAAATGTAAGTACACAATTCAAGTACACCAGTTGCTGTCCTCAAGTTACGTAACAGTAGGAAATAGCCCCGTATCCCTCTCAAACTTTCAGGAGTATAGTTCTAGAAACGTTTAATGCTCTACTCTGCAATAGACACAGGGGACAGCGACCTGACAATCAAATTGGACCAAACAATCCGGACACAGGGTGGTAATGTTACACGTATTTCTGAATCCAGAATTCATTCGCGTAAAAAAATTGGAATTACACATGCAAAACATAATACAGAACGAAAAAAAACCAGTTCCCTGAAAAGTTAGTTGCAGTATTAACGTCGTTTTCGTTGCCTTTTGCGAGGAACGGCAACAAAACCAAATGTCCTGTTATTGCATCCCACTTTTCTGGAAGTTGACTTTACTTCCAGAACAACCTGACGCGCAATTCGTTGAGCAGACCTGCGACCATAATTGTTCCGGGATCGATTGATTGCTGGAGACTATCAAAGAATCGTCCTTATAAAGTTCCTTGACCTGTCAGCACCGTACCAGTACACGTGTGGTAAACATCCACGACATGCATCACTGAAGCTGACACGCCATTGTTGAGACACTGCTCAAGGCGACGGAAAAACTAAGCCACACATGAGGGTTCATCCCAGCTTGGCTAGATTGTGTGTGTTAGAAACGGGCAATACGTCATGATTGGTATAACCGAGATGCTGTTCTAGGTATTTGTTTCCAGTGTCATCACCTTAGTCTCCGACTGACTGACCTGCTAAAATTCACTACCAAGGCCATTTTTACAAGGCTTCCTTAGCGCTACTAGTGTAGTATACGATCAAATCATACATTTCATTAGAAATCTACTCCTGTTACTATTCATATTTTGTACGTGAAAATAAATTTGATTTGCAACAACAGTAGGTAGTGGCATTAAACAGAATTCTTTTTTTAATAAACATGATGGTTACTTTTTGAAACGACCTTACCACAACAGCCGGCAGCCCGAAGCCGACTCCATACAGAACTGCGTTACTGACAGACGCCCCTGGCTTGTATGGCTGCTGCAGGCGGGGGTCGTGGCACTGGAAGCCCTGGTGCACAGGAGGCACGATCTTCTTGAAGGTGGCTGTTATTATTGCGACTGAAATGAGGGGAGTATTTGGTGAAGAGAGTACACTTGGATGGACTGGACTTAAGAAGGTTTTCAACCAGTCATGACGATTTGTTCAAAGAAAAATCCAATGACTACAGTAAAGTTTCTTTTCCGGGCACCGTTAGTACTGGTACTAGTCCGGACTAATGCCGGTCTTATAGTGCTAGCCCACTGTTATAACACGCCGCACTTTTACATGGATACCCTACCTGTGAAGAACCCGGTTAGAATAGGTCTTCAGCAACCTATTCTTGTCGTGAAAGGCGACTATGATTGTCGTAAGAGGCGACTAACGGGATCGGGTGGTCGGGCTCGCTGATTTGGTTCATGCATGTCATTGTATCCCAATTGCGTGGATCAATGCTAATTATGTCAATCACCGTAGTGTCAGGTCCAGACTCGATTATATACAGACCGCCGTCATATAGCTGGAATATTGCTGAGCGCGGCGTTAAATAACAAACAGACATTGATACCCCACTCAGACACTTGTACTTGCCCCTACCCCTACCCTCTGGAAGGCCGAGCGCCAAAAGCAGGTACCAGGTACCGTCTTTTGGTTCCATCTGATGCCCTTCCTCTCCCCAGGCAGACAATCTACACACTAGTCGTGTAGTTATAATAATGAGAATGGAGTTATAATATACCGGATAATCGAGGATGAATCACAACGTGTGACTTTACTGTGTAATCGTGCGACTGATTTGCCTGGCCAAAACGCGGTAATTTACAAGCCGCCGTGCATTGACTATTGCCATTTAACCTTGGTACATCATAGTTTACAGTTAGTTTTTCGGCCGTAGCAAAGAAAAGTTTGCATTTATAAAACAAAACAACGGATACCACAATGCCGCCGGTATTTGACATATCTCGTGACCATGAACTGCCCCACTTCTCCACAGAATCCGATCAAGAGCGGATCCATAATTATCGTGGCTGACGACAGAATGGTTTGAATCTCTACCAGAGTCCCAAGAGCGTGCAGTGAACATGCATTACATTCATCAGCTGTTTCAGCTTTAAAACTTACTAATTACGACAATACACACATCTGCCGCCACCCTGGAGTGCCACTTGTACCGTGAGGGAATACTAATTTTTCTCGCCATACCATTGAGCTCTCTCTCTCTCTCTCTATTTTCGACAGAGCGACCCAGTGTTGGACTCGGCAAATTACCCCCGCAGTAGCGGCCGTAGTTTAGCTGTGATATTTTGTCTCTGATAGGCTGGAATGTGATGCTGCGACGCTGACCTACTTTGTAGGATGTGATATGAGGCAAATATTTAGCCAACTCCAGAAGATGTCTATTGGTAGTTAAAACCGCCACTTCTCCCACCAAGAAAGGACTGAAGGCCTGTCAACTTTGAGGCACTGCACGGTTCACAAATTTGCCCAGCTGGGTCCAATTACAGTCTTAGTGTTAACAAAACACAAGCCTTTGTCTGATAAAGATACTGTATTGCCATACTCCTCTACAGGATGCAAAAAAAGCATTATTTGTTTCATACTTTTCAAATTGTTCATTTTTCCCTATTGAAATTCATTGCTGTATTAGAAAGAATATCAATGATGATATACAGCGCAGAGTATTGCAAAAACGGGCATGTAGCTATTCTGTAGTGACTATGCTTGTCGTAAGAGGCGACTAAGGGGATCGGGTGGTCAAGCTCGCGGACTTGGTTGATGCATGTCATCGTATCCCAATTGGGTGGACCGATGCTCATGAGATCAATCACTGTATTGTCTGGTCCAGACTCAATTATTTACACACCGCAGTCATATAACTGGAATATTGCTGAGTGCGGCGTTAAACAACAAACAAACAAAACAGCTTGAAAGACCAGTGCGAATATTTTCCAAGATAATGTTTATTTCTCTCTACTTGATATTGTAGAACATATACTGACTTCCAAGAGACTACACAAACCTTTTTTCTTGCGGGTGTATCTGTATTTGACTGTAGGGATTTACATACATGTAATTTATATGTTTATTCAGCCTCAGAAATCCGTATTTTAAGACTAGTCCAGATGACTAGTGAAAAACCTCATTTCACTTGTCACCCGAGTTTGAAGCTAGTCCTACATGAAGCAAACAAAGAGGTTTAGTATCGGACGTTTTAGTTCCACTAGTTGCTAAATTGCTAGTTGCTAAGCGTAGAGTACTGGTTCGCAATTATAGACCTCAAATGCTGCTATTGTCCATGGGGACTACCATCATTGGATTTTTACGTGTCCTCAGTACAACTTAGAAGTCTCGGACTAGCGGGTTAGTGAATTTCGAAGGTTGTTCGTTTTACCCCATTGGGTACCCGGGTTAGAATAGGTTACCATATGCTTGACGTACGAGACGAGTAAACGGAGTGCGTGGTCAGGTTCGGTGGTTTGTATTGCACGACGCCGTACCTTAACGGCGTGGGACGTTGCTCATAATATCAATCACTAGCTTGTCTGGTCCACATTCTATTTACCATATGATGACGTAATACGGCGTTGTTGTCTTCAAACCGCATAAGGGACCGGTGACGAATAATGCCCTCCGATCTTATTTTTAGTCAAATGATACGTAAAGTGACAGAGGAATTGAGTTTGGCTTAGTGTTCCAGTTATAACACGGCGTGTCAGCTTAATGTGGGAGGAAACCCCGAAGTGATCAGGTTATGCATGGTGAATTGCGGCATGTAAGGTAACTTGACCACCCGTGCCCCGAACGTGACAGAATATGCCTGTATGTAAAAACAACTTGGCGCAACAATTTCTAAAGTGTGATATTACTCCAAATCTCAGACTACTAATCTAAAATCACTTTAATTTTAAAACAAATATATATCTTCTGACATGCAATCTCGACTAAAATTGAACCGGATACAATATTGTAAATTTACGACCAGGGTTTAGATCTAGATAGTTTCTCAAATATGTTTTTTGTTTATTATAAATAAGAATGACAGATGAAACCGATCTAGGTCTACAACCTGCGACGTTACACATATTTTGACATGGTCAAAGGGAGACAATTCAATCGATTTATATTCCATGGGGGTAAAGTTCGTGGTCAAAGGGAAGTAATTCATCTTGGTAATTAGACTGAGCTCCTGTCTAACTTGCGTCGCATACAAACTGTTGAACCAGATTACTTTGGTAATTTCAAACGGGCTTACGTCCCTTGTACAAGATCCCTTCGAGTTTTACATGCAAACTTCAGACACTGCGTTGTACTTTGTCAAAAAGAAGTAACTGTGTCAAGAAAATAATCGTAGACACTTAGAGAACTGTCCTTCTTGTGGCTTTGTTGTGCGACGAGAAGCCCAAATGCAGGGAAACCAGTCAAACATGATCTGAGTTCTATGCGCATGTCCAAACTATGTTATGACGTCATGCGACCTTGTAGCAAGGGAGATAACCAGTATTTTCTAAGCTCTTATTCAGTGCGTGAATGGGCTATCGCTGTGAGGAGCTTGAATTTCCTTATAGAACTCGGGAAATTCCACGCAGTGTGAGGAGTTTAAGTAAACACACTGTATGGAGCTAATATAAGGGACCTTACTCATATATATTTTCAGCATATCATAACACGATTATCTCCCTTAGACCATTACCTGCATTGATGGCACGGCACGGGTTGCCTCCTTTACAACATACCGCGCTGGCAGGCTATTTTTGCAAAGACGTGTATCTAAATGTGTTTATCTTTATTCATTGTTTGTTATGATTAAACTTGATGATTCTAAAACAAATACGAATCAAAATGTTTGTATCTTCATGAAATAAGGCAGTAGATCTAGATCGATGGTCGCACTGATGTGTATCAGTAGTAACCGCCTGGTTAGGTTTGGCTTCACAGTCGGTTTCCTATAATTTGTATGAAGTAAAAAATGACAAAATATACGTAGCGATAGATGGAATCACTGTATATGTCAATTTCATCCCCCCCCAAAAATTCGATCTCAGTTCTCACAACCGCGAAACAAAGATCTGAAGACATCCTATTACGGGTCACGTCTGTTAGATTGCAATTGTCGCAGGTTTTAATGCCATGTACTTTCTCAAACACCAACACAGCTCCCGCTTAATAGTGGAGGTGAATCCTATATCGCAACACAGAAAAAAAGCAGCAAATTGTTTCTTCCATTGCAAGTTTCTACAGTTTACTTGTAGAACGCATGCTGTCATTTATATATACGATCGTGGTTTTCAAACAATTATGAAATTTGACACTTTTTTCAAGAACTGGCACACAAATACAGGTGTTAAGTGTTTAATTCGGTATTTAAAAAAACAATAATTTTCTTTCGGCGCGAGGGAAATTTGCTAGCGGGAGATGAGAAACAAAAAATAAGTAAGGACGTTTCTTGCGAAATAAGGACTCCTTTTAAGACAGTTTTTTTTAATAATTTTATTTGAAAGCAACCTCCAAACAAGTCTTAAAAAATGTGCTGTGTGTAAATGATACAGCAAATATGGTGTCTAAAAGTACTGCAAGCATGGACCTATCATGTGACTTTTATTTGACTTAGAATCATAATTGTAAGTCTAAGGCAGTGTGTATTGTGATATTCAAATTTTAAAACTTCGTCTTTCCAATGTATTAGTGGTATTGATATTCACTCATACTCAGGCAGAGGATTCATAGCGTTTCTTCATATGTTGCCAGGGACAGACACTCAACACCTTTCCACGGGACACACACAATCCTGGCACCAATTTTTCACGTGCAACGAGGAACACACGACATCCTGGCACCAGGTTCAATGTGCAACGAGGAACACACACAATCCTGGCACCAGGTTCCATGTGCAACGAGGAACACACACCATCCTAGCACCAGGTTCCACGCGCAACGAGGAACACACACAATCCTGGCACCAGGTTCCATGAGCAAAGAGGAACACACACCATCCTGGCACCAGGTTCCACGTGCAACGAGGAACACACACAATCCTGGCACCAGGTTCCATGTGCAACGAGGAACACACACCATCCTGGCACCAGGTTCCACATGCAACGAGGAACACACACAATCCTGGCACCAGGTTCCACATGCAACGAGGAACACACACAATCCTGGCACAATATTCTTTCTGTTAATAGGAACACACATAATGGTGAATATTACAACTGCATACCAATAAATATCTACAGACATTTCCAACAAGTTGGAACATTTATGCATTAAAAAGTAACAATCATTACATATACAAGCAACACATAAGAAAGGCATACTGGTGTTCATAGTGCTAGCCTACTGAGATACCATCCCACAGTTTAACATGGATACCCCACTCGTCTTTGTGTCGACATACTGGGTCCTAAGAGTGAAGCTTATTGTGGCTGAAGACTGAATTGAACTGTTGTTTTTAATAGGATTGGTTGGTTTGTTGTTTTACGCCGCAATTAACAGCAATATTCAGGTTATATGACGGCGGTCTGTAAATAAAAGAGTCTGGACCAGACAATCCAGTGATTAATACCATGAGCATCGACCCATGCAACTGGGATCGATGACATGCATCAACCAAGTCAGCGGACCTGACCATCCGATCCCGTTAGTCGCCTCTTACGACAAGCAATGTTGCCTTTTACGGCAAGCATGGGTTGCTGAAGACCTATTCTACCCCGGATATTCACGGGATTTTTCATCCAAAAATGTGCCCCAAACCTCCAAGTTTTTTGTTCAAGGCTCTTCCCATTAATGCAAAATGATCAAGTAGTAGATATTCTGTTCCACTTGGAGTGGGTAGTTTTGACTCAGGTGAGGTGAAATGGGGTTTAACGTTGCGTCCAAGTGAGTGAGTTAGTTTTGTTTAACGCCGCTTTTAACAGTATTCCAGTTATATCGTGGCATGTCAGCTTAATGTGGGAGGAAAGCCCGAAGTGATGCAGGTCTCAGACGTTTACCACTTCGGTGAAACCCACGAGCACGGGTATGGTGCTGACAAACCTAGAAACATAATCGGGGCGAACCGGGATTCGAACCCACAATCATTGGTTTCTGCATAGCGAATCGCGGCGCCTTAGACGACTGGGCCACCCGTGCCCCCAAACGTTGCGTTGCTCTTAAATAGCGGCGTGCATGCACGTGTGTGTGTGTATGCATGTGTGTGCGCGCTCTTGTACTAGTCCGGACTGATGCCGATTTACAATGCTAGCTCACTGAGTTACATTAACATTAATTGTATGATAAACGACAAGATGGCCCCAAAAATGAAAAGAATAATTGCATCAACAGTGAAATTTTAAAAAGTTATCAAAGGCAATTAATAAATAAAATACTAAACTCACTCACGTGTATTACCAAGTTCACTTGTCAGATACCAGAACTGTTCACTCGTTTGATAAAATTGGTATTACACAGGATCTCGTTTAGTATTCTATATGTAACAATCAAGTCTGGATCAGACAATCAAGTGGTTGATACCATGAGCAACGGTCCATGCAATTGGGTAATGGAGACCTATTCTAACCAGGAATCCCCAAGGGAGAAAAACATCTGTGAACATGGTCATTATATTTTTAAAACAAAATTTTTACAGAGATGAACAGAAACAAACATCTCTCTCGCCTGCGAACACAACAAAACACAGGAATAACAGAATATACAACCATAACAAATATCCTACATGGATCTAATAACTATTGAAGATGTGGATAGATGAACAAAAGAGTGTACACCAAGAATTATCTAGATCTGCTCAGGGGTTCATATTTGGCCACAAGTCTGCAGTAAATGTCGGTAAAATTTCTAAAATGGAATAAAAAAATTCCCAATTCATGTAGATCTATAACAGGACCAACAAAGAGGAATAAGCCACATTGCTCAGTTTTATAATATTACATTGCATCAATGTTAAAATACAGTGTAAAAATACAATCAAATTTGAGATATGTTTATTCCTATGGCACTTAGAATTCAAGATAAATCCCTGTATAAACAAGTGACACTGAGCATTCCGCTATGAGCAAGAAACAACACTCCAATCTCATGAGTTGAACATCACAGTTTTCAATCACTGTTTGAGTTTCATGTCTTGATAAATGATTTCATTACTGATGAAGTACAATCGTTTGAGAACATCTGAGTATCTGTGTGTTTATCTGCAACCATAGGCCTGTTGCATCATCAAAAAACATGACAACTAGTTTCCAGTGCATATGGTACGGTAAGAGCCCTTTTTTCTCCAGTGAAATGGATAAATATCTACAGGACTGACAAAAATCATATTTCTTTTTATAAACCTTGAAATGTTGTACTGACAGGAGCAATAAATACAGATTTATTGCTATGAATGCATTTAAAGTCCTTGACTGAAGAAGGAATGTTTCACCAAAGTATGGTACTGTCATTTTCCCCATTTCCAAAAAAAATAAGCTGGCATCAACGATTTGCTAAAGTTGAAAAAAATAATTAAAAGCCCTTCTGGCCTTTGTACACTTGTCATTCAATGTCAGTTTTAGAGAAAGATAATGAACATGTCAGTCTAATGATGAACTGTATTGATATTTTTTAGATCACTTTTTTAAATATTCCTCCTAATAAATAATTTTTATTGGCATTAAAACATGGAAAAGCCCTGAAGATATTTCTTATCAAATTGTCAATTGTCTGACACAGAGTTGTGTCCTTTTGTTCAAACTCCATGTGCTTCTGCTTTTTATATGCCGAAGTATGACAGCAATATGACAGCAGTAAGTCAACAATTGGGCCAAGTGTACCTGGGGTTGATGACATGATCAACGCAGGGATTTATGTAGATAGTCTGCAGCAAATGTCTGTAAAAAATCCCAAATTCGAATAAAGATTTCCCAAGTTCATGTTATACAGTAATACCTAATGTTGTGGCTTTGTAGATGTGACTGATAAATTTGAGCAAACTAACAAAAGAAATTCCCAAACTCTGTCAAGGGCACTTGGTTTGGAATCCTGGATATATCCCTGCAACGTCCCGCCACAAGTGTGTATGATGACAGAAAGTCAGAGCCTGACCATCCAGTTCCCATCTTCCTGAGTCAAGGAGTTAACCGACTATAAAAGTCTAGATTCCACCCTTGCCGAACTAGGCTGCAATTATGAAGTCATATTTTGGCTAACTAACAAGTCTATGCATAGTCCAATCAAAATCGCGCAACAAAATCAACATCCAGTTTGTAAACTGCCATGCAGATTTTGGTCGACTGCAAGATTTGCAATGCATGTGTACCGTCAACTTACTGTCAGACATTTTCCAAATCTTTTCATGCTTTAAATCAAGGTGCTCACACGATTTGATGCACATCATGAAGTAAGGCCCGTTTAAATACAATATAAACCTTAATTATCGATCGGATCGCCTTCACTGGATTTTTTTTTATTTGAAGCAAAGCCAATTGATATCAGAAGTGGAATCTGATTGGTCAATAGGAGGGACATAGAAGGGATAAAACTCGTAATAGCCACTGGTTGCGCTACGATTGAACCCAGAAATTCTGGCCAAGTTCCGCAAGGGCAGAAACTGGAATTTAACAGTCAGTTAACTCCCTTGCCTCAGGAAGATGCCCAATTCCAACTGGGGGCCTATTTTGATCTGGAATCCCACACGGACCAGATGAACTCTGAGGCTATGGACATATAAAAGAGATTAGGAGTCAGGCCAACAGTGAGGGACAGGTTGGTGTCATACCAATATCACAGATGCATCACATAGGCCGCCAGGACTGGATATGTACACACCATTTCACACACTAAGCAATACAATAAAATCACATTGTACAATCTAACAATACAACACTCGAAGGTAATGGTGGGCTGGTAGTTTTTTTGTTGCGCTTGGCATTATTCCGCTGTATCATGGCGGGGCACTCCTGGGTGTGTCATGAACATATGTAAGGAGTCAAACTTGGGTCCTCAGCCAAGTGAGCGAATGCTTTAACCACAAACCTACATAATCTTACTGTTTAGAGTGATTGACACATATAACAGCCAATCACAACACCTGATACATTTGGTAGTTGCTTCAAAAAGTGACAGTCCAACACACTGCAAACATTAAAGTCGACATATATTACAGGCATTAAGTCTGAACCTCTAGCTGGCATTATTGTCAGGATATATTACACCATTAATTCAATATAGATTAATGCCAGTACATTATGGTAGCAGTAACCATTACAACTGCCAGTTCATACTCCAGTAAGGTCATATATTCCCATCAATCATGTCAGTTTCTATTCAATTAAGGTCATAAATTCCCATCAATCATGTCAGTTTTTATTCAATTAAGGTCATATATTCCCATCAATCATGTCAGTTCCTATTCAATTAAGGTCATAAATTCCCATCAATCATGCCAGTTCCTATTCAATTAAGGTCACATATTCCCATCAATCATGCCAGTTCCTATTCAATTAAGGTCACATATTCCCATCAACCATGTCAGTTTCTGTTCAATTAAGGTCATATATTCCCATCAGCCATGTCAGTTTCTATTCAATTAAGGTCATATATTCCCATCATTCATGTCAGTTCCCATTCAATTAAGGTCATAGTCCCATCAATCATGCCAGTTCCTATTCAATTAAGGTCATAAATTCCCATCAATCATGCCAGTTCCTATTAGAAATGAGGTAATAAATTCCCATCAATCATGTCAGTTCCTATTCAATTAAGGTCATAGTCCCATCAATCATGTCAGTTCCTATTCAATTAAGGTCATAGTCCCATCAATCATGTCAGTTCCTATTCAATTAAGGTCATAAATTCCCATCAATCATGCCAGTTCCTATTAGAAATGAGGTAATAAATTCCCATCATTCATGTCAGTTCCCATTCAATTAAGGTCATAGTCCCATCAATCATGCCAGTTCCTATTCAATTAAGGTCATAAATTCCCATCAATCATGCCAGTTCCTATTAGAAATGAGGTAATAAATTCCCATCAATCATGCCAGTTTCTATTCAATTAAGGTCATAGTCCCATCAATCATGTCAGTTCCTATTCAATTAAGGTCATATTCCGATCAGTCATGTCAGTATATGTTCCAAGAATAAATGTCAGGTTTCATAAAGATTGGCATTATGAAACTTAATAAACACTCAAAATATTATATCATTTTTTCAGATCAAGTCCTAGGGCTTGATAGTGTTCTCCATAAGAATATGTATCAAAATATATTTGTATATATGTACTTGCTAACCATGCTGTATAGTCATTAACACAAGACATACCACAATCAACAAACATGAAAACGATCAGAAAAAGGTTTCCAATAAAAGTCAAACAACAATTGAGATTCTGCTCTACCTAGCATGATTAAGAGTGATGCAAACTGAATTTAACTTATGACTCCCCTTTAGAAATTGCAAACACTTCCACTGAGTGAGTATTTCACGTACATATGGCCGGTCGATGGCCTGTGCCAGGGTACACAAAGTGACGCAGGTCATAAACATTTACCACTTTGGTGAAATCAACAAGCATCTGGCAATCAAGTCCACAGTCACCAAATCCTGGCATGACTAAGGCACACAAGTCTACATATCAAATTGATGTACCTGAGATGACTGTCCCCTTCTTTTTGAGTATTCAGAGATTTGTTATCCATATAAGTTTGTGTAAGACGGATTGAATGTTGTGTCAAAGCTTAGGATGTCATTGTATATTGCAATATCGATAAGTTTTTAATGTCCATACTATATCGATACAAATGTATGAATATTTATCCTAAATTAATACCTGTAAGATATATGAGATTCTACTCTGATCAACATGATTAAATGATGCAAACTGAATTTGATAAAATTCACTGCCACAGAATCTTTACTTGTATAAAGATTACTTTGTTTCAAAAGGATAATATGAAAGGCAGAAAATTCAATTTAATCGGTCGGCCCAGTTCATATTTAGAATTAAAGTTGATTTTTTGCAAGTCTAATTTGGAATTTTTGATCTACACATATTCAAAACAACTAATTTGTTATTACATATTCCGACATATTGTGATACTTTTGAGTTGATATATCAATACTAGACTTTCCAGTCAATGACACCCCTAGGCCCTAACTATATAGCCCCTTCCAAAACATATGACAAGTGAATCAGATAGGCTCGTGGGTCTTGCTTGCTGCACTACAGTCTAACTACAGGTTAGTGTTCTCATTGTCCTCTTTCAAAACTTGAGTCGAATTTCTTTTTTGAGTTGTCTGTTCTTGAACCTTCCGTCGTTCTCTGTCAAATGGAGTTACTTTGTATGTCTGAAAGATCAAGGAATAATTATGAAACACATCCAGTACTTGACAATCCGAATCCTAATGTATGCCATGATGGCAGCATGTCTAATAGCTGCGTTAGATCTTTGTTCTCCAATTTATGTATTCTGCAATACACATTTGGCACATTGGTAGAGCTTAGAGACCAACAATGCCACCAACTGTGATGTCACTCTAGAGCTACAAGCCCCAGGTTGTCAACCCAGTGAGGCAGACTCACCATCAGTAGAGTTACAAGCCCTAGGGTGTCAACCCAGTGAGACAGACTCACCATCAGTAGAGCTACAAGCTCCAGGGTGTCAACCCAGTGAGACACATTTACACTAGTAGAGCTACAAGCCCTAGGGTGTCAACCCAGTGAGACAGACTCACCATCAGTAGAGTTACAAGCCCCAGGGTGTCAACCCAGTGAGGCAGACTCACCATCACTAGAGCTACAAGCCCCAGGGTGTCAACCCAGTGAGACAGACTCACCATCAGTAAAGCTACAAGCCCCAGGGTGTCAACCCAGTGAGACAGACTCACATCAGTAGAGCTACAAGCACCAGGGTGTTAACCCAGTGAGACACATTTACACTAGTAGAGCTACAAGCCCCAGGGTGTCAACCCAGTGAGACAGACTCACCATCAGTAGAGCTACAAGCCCCAGGGTGTCAACCCAGTGAGACAGACTCACCATCAGTAGAGTTACAAGCCCTAGGGTGTCAACCCAGTGAGACAGACTCACCATCAGTAGAGCTACAAGCCCCAGGGTGTCAACCCAGTGAGACAGACTCACCATCAGTAGAGTTACAAGCCCTAGGGTGTCAACCCAGTGAGACAGACTCACCATCAGTAGAGTTACAAGCCCCAGGGTGTCAACCCAGTGAGGCAGACTCACCATCAGTAGAGTTACAAGCCCCAGGGTGTCAACCCAGTGAGACAGACTCACCATCAGTAGAGCTACAAGCCCCAGGGTGTCAACCCAGTGAGGCAGACTCACCATCAGTAGAGCTACAAGCCCTAGGGTGTCAACCCAGTGAGACAGACTCACCACAAGGAGAGCTACAACAAGCCCCAGGATTGCCCCAGCCAGGACGTCACTCCAGTGGTGCTTGTAGTCTGAGATGCGAGACAGGCAGGTGTAGAAGGCCATGTAGAACAGTCCGGTCTGTAGGGTCGGGCGCAGCAGGGCGAGGCCACTCCATGTCAGCTTCATCTGCAGGTAGATCTGAAACAAACATCACATTTTCTCAAGTCTCCCTGGTTGTATTTACCACAATACATGCTTCAACTTACATACAGGGAGTGAACGTTATCATTGCCAGTCTAGCCAGTTATCATAGTATGGTTAAAAAGTCCAATATTCCATCCAGAAGATTGTGGCCTGTCAATGATCAAATCAGGGTAAGGCAAACCAGTGTTTGATGGCCTGAACACCAATCTACACCAACGGGGCGCTGTGAATCAATCAGTCTTGTGACCAGGGGTCCGGAAACGGTCATATGCACTGGACAAGTCCGATTGGGAATCTCAAATGTCTGGTTTAAAATATTGCTTACCGGACATTTAAATTTTTCTGTCCAGACATTTTAAAAAACAAACAACGCTACCTTCCTGCTCTAAATAATTGATGAGCGTTATCGTATCCCTTCAGCGAATTCAGGTGAATAAACAGGTATAACAAACTTGGTCAATAAAAGTATGAAATTTGATATAAAACATCACACTGTACGTAACAACTTGTAATGTGTGTGAAACGTCGTACAAATATGAGCTATTTGAAGGGGGCGTGGCCTAAATGCAAATGTCCGACTGGCATTTTAAATTTTCCGGACCCCTGCTTGTGAGTGAGTGAGTGTGTGAGTATGGTTTTACGCCGCTTTTAGCAATATTCCAGCAATATCATGTCGGGGTACACCAGAAATGGGCTTCACACATTCTACCCATGTCGGGAATCGAACCCGGGTCTTCGGCGTGACGAGCAAACGCTGTAACCACTAGGCTACCCGATCCCCCCTACACACACACACACACCCTTGTGACCCATTATAACAACCCTAAACATTTGACAACAGACCCTTTAATATTCTGAAGGGGGACCTGGGATTTGTTTGGTCACAAAGGTCACTGTTTCAAGATATACACTTTCTTTCTTTGGAAGAAAGAGCTAAAAACATTTGGGACCAACAACATATATTTTCAGCCCTTATTGGGGACTTGGGGCCCAGTCTTACCCCTGAATCAAATCTGCATCACATCCAAGTGTAATAACAACTGGGCAAGACCACACCCCAAAGTTAGATGTCTATCTTCCTGTATGAGATATGCATGGTTCATACACAGGCATATATTTTCTGATACAAAATCCTGGCAAAAACATTTATTAATAATCTGAAGTAAAATCATTGAAAAACCAAAAGTATACATGCATCACAGACTTAACAATTTCAGAAACAGACAGATTGTGGAAAATATATCATGGGGCATGATAGGATGATGTGAAAAAACTATTTGGGGGTCAAAATGTCAAAGGATTAATTCCCTTCAGTTATTGACCTATTTTAAAGAGCTATTTTTCAGAATTAAAATTAGTTTACAGAATTGGAAGAAACAGAAACTTTTCTGAATTATCTGCCTCAGCAGATCTGTAAACCAAGTAACAATGATTCACTGCCCTACCATGAGGAACACCATCGTGTACACAGCTTCTGAAGCATGGCCTGATGGGAAGGACACCCTGGAAACAAGAAGATGAATCATTCAACTAACAGGCTGTGGAGGCAGAAAGCAGACACTGTGATCTCAAATGTCTATGAATCGTTACATCAGTATATGAGAATTCTGTATGAAAAGCTGATGAAGCATTGTGAATGTTATACCTTCTGCATCATGCACTGGGGATAGTGCTTGTGCCAAAGACCACTGGGCTGGGAAGCCAAGTGAGGGTATCACTATAATCAGATATACTTTTGAAACAATATTAAGGGATATCTGCATGAACACTTTGTATTAGGGCAGTAGGCATTCTGGTTCAAAGGAAGAACCAATTTCCATTGAACAGGTTGGCTGGTTGGTTGGTTGGCATCGAACCGATGAATTTGTCATGATTGCAGTAGCGCATTATACATGACACGACATCCTATGTGCTGCCAACTACTCATAATGTGACCCGACACAAAAAGGTTTCCGTCATATCTGGATTATCAAGGCGATGATGAAAATGTAAACTAGACAATATTACCAAATATGTACAACAATGTTTACTTCCGTATGACATCACTACCAGTGACCGACTTTTACAAAATGGCGTGTTCACTGACAACATTACGAGGGATTTCCAGAGGAGGATTTTCGTTGATTGAGGGATCGTATACACATAAATTGGTCCCGTAAGTAATCAGAAGCATTCTGACAATCTGCGTACTGTTATTTGTTTACCAATGTAAGAAAGAGAATTAGTCAGAAATGCAGATAACTACCGTCATCGTTGTGCGTGATTTAGCGTCAGTCATGGCGCCACACAGGACAGAAACTTTTGTAAACGGCTTCTGTTGAATTTACCACATCATTGTAATATGTGTATTTCCATAATTAGTGCAATGATACTCTTCCCATGAATGTTCTCAAACACGTGATCGAGCCAATGTATGCAACAATTAGACGAAAGTACCTCTACAGGCTACACAGTGTAAAATCAGAATTTTGCTTTGTTTACATTTCAGCAAGTACAGTTTTTTTAGCATAGTTTTCGCTTCCATACCTAACCTTATTTTGCATGATTTCATCTAGATAATTTGCATTGGTGACAAAGACCATTTATCCATTGTTTCGAAAATGTATGAGGAATTCAGGGATGCATGTATAGCATTAAACATTGAAATATACCTGATCGAATAGGCGTCTCATAACCGGCATTTTGTAAACACAATGCAATATGGCGGAACGTAGAATCTACACTTCGGCGTTCGTGTATTTTCCAAAACATTCTAAACGATTCTAGGCTTATCAGCGACGTTTCAGAATTATCAGTAGTGATTTGATACCCGTGATCGCTAATTTTCTACTTTAATTATTCGAGTAAATATCCACACTTTCAGTAATTTTGAATTGCCTTATAAACAGAAAGGAATTCAAAACTGTGAAGTGTATTAATCTGCGTGATGTATTTTGAATTTTATTCGATTTCGAAGTGAGGGTTGAAGAGGAGGGACATATGTGTCGCTGTGGCATCCAGGGGGTTTACACTCTGAAAAAACGATTATGTTGACATAACAACAAACAAACTCACAGACGATTTCGAGTTTTTTTATTATTAATTATACGGTGAACATTCGACTGAAGCACCAGCAACTTATGAATGACACTCAGGAAAGTAGTCCATCACAATCACCATAGCAACAACAGAACGTTCGATGTTGACGCCTCACAACCGAGTAAGTACGGGGTGTTAAAGAGTGCGCATGTTTTTTTCTAAATAAAACAATAGGTTTACAATATCGATAAATACTATGTGTGTGTCTATTTCCGGGATTTTATCGAGTATTTGCATCTTGGAAATTTTCATTCGAGCCCCTCAAGCTAACACTTTCGGGTCTCGAGATGAATTTCCAAGATGCAAATACTCGATAAAATCCCAGAAATAGACACACACATAGTATTTATCTTCTAATTCTACCCCAGATATTCACGGTTGCCATTGAACAGGGGACTGTGAGGGTGTAGAGACCAAAATCCTGAATAGGGAGAAAATGTTTTCAGAAACTGAAAAAAACGCAGTCATCAAGAGGATGTGCTTTCAGCTGACATACTCCTAAATCATGGCAAATGCAGAATCTTCTCATCTAAATACAGAGGGCAGTGTACATTCTTACCTGGCTTCTTGAATTGCCTTGACATCAGTTCCAGTGCAAACATCTTCAGTGATGTAACGATTCCCCTCAGAGCAGTTGATCCTTGCCCAGTCAGGCTGGCAGATGGCAAAGAAATGAGGCCGCAATCGTCCCACGGCATACTTGGGGATATTTGTGGTCATGTGAGTGACCGCAGCACCAAAGAAGAAAGGCACAAGATAATCAAAACTCTGCCTGACCATTTTAAGCAGCAGGTCATTCCTTGGGGCTTCAGTCTGATCCTTGTTCTTGTAAACCAGGAAGGATTCTATGCCAATGATCTGAAATTAAATTGTGAGAAAGACACATGTTTTTTACAACACAGATATTCTTATGGATTACATGGCTTCTTAATGAAACCTATCTAAGGACATGAATTCAGGCCTTACCAATTAAGTGTTGTTTTACACCCAGTCTAACTAAATCAGATCTGATATTCTGATATTGTGCGACTGCATGAAGATCTGAGGTCACCTCAATAGAAAGTCACATCAGATGAACAATGAGTTTTTGTTGGTTTGTTGTTTAACACTGAACTCAGCACTATTCCAGCTATATGACGGCACTCTGTAAATAATCGAGTCTGGACCAGACAATCCAGTGATTGATATCACGAGCATCGATCTTCGCAATTGGGATACGATGACATGCATCAACCAAGTCACAGAGCCTGACCCCCTGATCCTGTTAGCTGCTTTTGCCATGCTAACAACAAGCATAGACGCCTCTTACGACAAGCATGGGTTGTTGGAGACCTATTCTCTACCTGGAGTGAGCTGACAGAAACAACACAATGTATAAAACATCGACAACATAATCATGATAATAGCAGAGTTGTATGTTTTTGCATTCGAAACTCCGTGATCATGCTGATTATAAAATTTATTTTCAGGTTACAGACATCAGATGTGCTGTTGATGTAACTTGTAATTTTGTTCAGCTTTGGATAGGTAAGACGGGAAATAAGTTTCCATTGAGTTAAAGAATCCATCTTGGTCATTTTGACAAAACATATACATATATAAGCCTTATCCATGTTAAACAGATGGCTTATCATTTATGATCTTTTGTATACTGTCTTAGAAACACTTTTTGTACTTGCAGTAGAAACTTGCCATATCCTGACATATTGGCAGAATCTGCTGTAAAATCTTCAAGAACCTGACACAGCTTTGTTTGTTTGTTGTTATTAATGTTACTGCACTCATCAACATGTCAGCTGAAGCGGCTGGCTGCCTGTCAATAATCGAGTCTGGACCAGACAAGATCCCGGACCTTCCACTCTCCAGGCGGACGTTCTACCACTAGACCACGGAGGCGAGCTACAAACTCTGAGGATTAGTGACTAGTCTTTAAAAAATGAGTTTCTAAGGCTGTACACCTGTACTTGCTGTAGGCAGTTGAGGACAAAGGATGTGAGCATGTTGGTGTGGCTTGTTGTACAGTGAGGCAAGTGGTGATGACACTCCAATAATTTCATCATAATGGCCTAATGGTTTGCATTGTTCAGAAAAATAGTCCGACCAATTTCTTAACACCTCATTGAAGAACTAAAGGCATTTACTCACAAAAGCTGAGGGTAAGGCAAAGCCCACACCGTAAAGAACGGCAGCACTGACGGTCCCAGACTTGAAGGGGTGCATCAGGCTCTGATCATCGCAGAAGAACCCTCGGTGGAATGGCACTCCAACTTGTCGCAGAGTGATGGACAGGGATACAACTGTTAACATACAAGGTCAAGAATGTGCTGTAGCTCAACAAATACTGTATGAGTGAGTGAGTGAGCGAGTGAGTGAGTTTTGGTTTAACACCATTTTGAAAAGTATTTCACTTTGAACAAGCAGAAAATAAAGGATTTCGATGTAAAAAGCTCAGCCTATATATTGATATATGTGTATTTGATTGTATGTCCATCTAAGTGAGGGTAAAGCCCAGAGTGCTACAGATTGTTGAGGTTTACCTCACTGATGAAAGCCTTCAGCATGTTCAGCTGTTGCACCAGGGTATGATGTTGACAAAGTAAGGATCTGTGTTCACATACTAGTGATAAGTGTAGCGAGTAGGAAGTTGTGTCCTGTATGTACAGCCATCTAGAAATGTGTGGCTGCTGCTACCCTTGTTCTGTTCTAAATCATGTCAACTGTTGTTATATTTTAAATAAATAAATTGCAAGAGATTTGATTGGCTAACCAAGCAATTCTTTTTGTTTACATTTCCATGTTTCCAATTATCTGTATGACTACCTGTTATCTTTTACCTGTTGTTGACAATGTTAATCTGCTGCTTATCACAATATGTCATGAATATATACCTCTCATCACTTGGTTGTTGTCACTCCAGCTTCTTAACGGTGTAAGAATCTACATTGAAACATCACTATATGCAATAAACCAGAAGTTGTTATCTATAAAGTTGTATGCTTTGTTAAATCATACAGAATCAAAGTAATTACATGTATTAATTTATTTAGTTTGCGTCAATAGCCTCAGCAAACACCTTTTTAGAGGACAAAGCTTTATGAGAAGTATTTATTAGTAAATACATACGAAATGGTTTACTAAAAAAAATCTGCATGTTGAACATATTTTCCAACCCAAAATGACAAACCCAAAACACTTAAAAAATGAAAAATGTCGCCTCTCTGTGTCTGTGTGTGTGTGTCACAGCGTCCATTCACTGAAGTCCACGCCACTTGAATGTGGGTGTTGGCTGAGGTCTTAGGTCACCACAAGCTTAACCCATGCTGTGAGACACTGCTGATGTGAGGTGTGTACATATATCAGATATATGTACACATCAGCAGTTTTTTTACATGGATCAAACATGTCAAAATACCACACATAACAAGGATTTATCTAGACCTGCTCAGGTCGATATATTCAGCCCCAAGTCTGCAGAAAATGTCAGCAAAAATTCCCAAACTGGAATTAAATATTTCACAGTCCATATTATACAAATTATAATACTGATTGTATGGCTTTGAAGAGCTGACCAATAAGAGGAAGAGGTATTACTGATCAGTTTTACATTGTAGCATTGAGTGTATTCTCAAAATACCTCTGAACTTTAGAAATTAAAACTTCACACAAATCCCAATTCTGAGCATAGTAACCAATTTTTTTATATCGCCTGCCAAGGGCTCTTTGTTTGATAAATCCCTGGATAATCAACATAACACATATATTTTCAGCATGAAGAGACCTTGGAGAGAAAAAGAAAGTATTATCAACATTTTATGTTCTTCCAGGGATTGTAATATTTGTTCTTTCATGAACATAAGTTACTCAATGGTCACTGTAGTCATCATGGAATTACAGGTCAGTCAACAATAACAGGTTCCACTGACAGCTATGATGGACTTACATGTTGTTAATTAGGCCTATCTAAAAACTTGTTGAGTCATCATGAGCTAAGTAAGCACCTGTATGTCATAAGGTTTTTGCCTTTCATTTTTATTACATTCATTAAGATTAATAACACTGTACCCAGTTCAATTTTGAAATCCCCAGGTATATTTTGTGGGGCAAACTGCAGATTAAGTGTATTCATATGTTCATATTTCCATTTGTTTGTCCAGTTTAGGTCTGCGAAAGCACTGGTTCAATATTTTAAATGTCATGACACAAGGTATTAACACATGATGAAGGGGGTACTAATCTCTGGCTTCTTCCCTGCTTTCTAACACTGCTTGCTTGGGTTCAATAACTGACGTGAGTCGATTTGCTGGCTAACGCAACTGAGTGTGACAAGAGACTGGGCTACCGTCTGTAAGAACAGCGTAAATAATTTTTAAGGCAATATCTTTACCCATTTCTGAACACTCATTGGTTACCCATGATCTATAAAAGAAATTTGATATATTTCAAAAGGCACATGTTAATTGATTTCTTCAACCTAACTGACAAAAAGAACAGGTGGAATTAACCGTATCGGATGTTGTAATTTGAAAAAATGCCTGATGGTCCTAGTTTAATTAAAAAAGTATCCCTGCAGTGTAAGCATTTTCGGATTGCGTGGATAATACGATACCTACTTCCTTGTGTTCTCATTACAGTGATTAACTACTTCCGGAAATAAATTAATAAGGATCATAAGATCGATCCACAAATTGGCATATAACATGATATAAGACATGACAAGAGATTATACATTGTAATCTGTTCTTTTCTGTGAAAACAACGCTCCGGCCACACCTTTTTTTATTTTATTGTTTAATCAATTTTAGCGTAAACAAAGATTCTGCTAATGCAGTCACTAACTGAACACAAGTGACACTTCTATTCCAGCTCAAGCACTTTGAGCTAGTCATTTTGAAAACAAATACCTTCAGATCAAACACAAACCGGTTAGTCAAACTGTGATACTCACTCAAAACTATCAGCAAAATATCAACAACCAACTTGAAAACCCATCTTGTTGTTTCAGCCATGGCTCAACTTTGTGAATAACAACAAAATAGAGTGATCTCCCCTTATTTTATTGCCGCGCACCTGTCAATTTCAACCGGAAACACGTGCTGCGCCGCCTAAACGAAAACAAGCTGATTGTAGCGAAGTTATCTACAGGGAACATATCTTTGTCATAGTCACCACTCGCCTTGTTCTTAACCACAAGAATGCTTCGTAGTCTCATAAGCCGGGTAATATATTTTTCCTTTAGCAATGACACGGTTAGGCTCCAGTGTATATACAGACATAATCATAATGTTTTAAACTTAAAGAGCAAATTTACAAAATTATTTAGTAATCGATCAGACCTGCAGAGTAATTAAGTTCGGGGTGTGGTTATTGATTGAATTCAGGATGTATTTTATTGGTTACAGGCCGGCAAAGCCACATTTCGAAAATAGATAGCCCAAATTGATGTGGCTCTCGCGGCAATGGTTATGGTTGCGTGATTGTATAATGTGGCTCTCGCGGCTATGCTGTCAAAACATGCTTTGTGATTCTAACAGGTTACCGTATATAACAAAACAAGTCTTGTTTTCTCATTTTTTATTCAACAAGGATAACATATTCATCAAAACTTTACATTGATGAATATGAATAGCATATGAATATCATAATGGATTTAATGTCATTACTGCAGATGAAGGAGGTCGCTCACGTGGTCAGCATATTCCATCTCACTCAGGTGTTGGTTCAGGAGGTGGATCTTGAGGGACGCAATACGTGCATCGATTGCCTTGTACTCCTTTCTTCGTGAAGGTTCTGACCACTGGTGAGAGAGTCTCAGGACTGCAACCTCTTTGAGTGACTGCTCTCGCTGAAATAGCTTCACTACCTCCTAGATGTTCGGGTGGCACTTCTTGGCAAGTTTCTTTATCTTGTTGTGGCACACTTCAAGGTGATTGTTGGTACGGTGGCCTTGGTTTTCGAAATGGTTCAAAATCTCTGGCATGAAGGCCCTCCTTGAACCCAACTGGTTGTCACGTAGTCCATGAAGGCAGTCACTTTAGGGCCAGCAGGAGAGTCAGCAATGGCATCAAGCCACACATCATCCACTTTGTCACGAGGTAGTAGAGGGAGGGCAGCAGCTCTTCTCACCAGCTTCTTCACCTCATCATCTTCCTTATAGTCCATCACCAGACCTTGTGTGGGTGGAGAATTTTTGGTTTGGTTAGTGGTTTCCTGAGCACTTTTTTGATTTGGCTATTTGAGTTTAGATATAGGTTATGCCATTTTTTTGTGATTTTTTGTTTGTTTACACTTTTAATTTCTGATTTTGAGATGGGTAAGTTTAAGCTTATTTCTGGGATTTTGAGGGATAGTTTAGCTGCTTTATCGGCGTTTTCATTACCGTATATTCCTACGTGGGCGGGTATCCACAAGAAGGTTATTTGTTTGCCTGCCTTGAGCTAAGCACACGCTGAAATGCCTCCAAGGCAATGCCTAAATGAACAGGCCTAAAAAACGACACACTGACAAGATCGTCTCATTGCACAAATTGCACTGCGCAATAGATTAACATCTGATGATGTGTGCAATAGAGTATAATATAACAGAAACAATGCCAGGAAGACGAATTTCAACAGCTATCGTTAAAAAAACGGATTTATGCAACCAGGCTGAATGCAAGGCGTCCTTTGAAGGATGTGAGAAATAAGCTAAAATCGTTACTTTGTTTGCTACCTGTCGGCTGGGCGTTTTCAGCTTAAACAATTTTGGGTATCGTTTACGTTTCATGATCACCAACTGCGCAGTTGTATGTTTCATGATAAATGCCTGTTGGTGTCTATGAGTTTATCGTGAGTTTAAGTGTGTATGTTAATGTTATCTCTGGGGGGTAGCACATACCGAAGTCGTTGCACACAAGTAGTTGTGGGAACGTTGCAGCCTCACTGCATCACATCCGGGCTGTGTATGTGCAGTTGTTTTCGTCAAAGTGTGCAGGCATGCGTAATGTCTCTGAATTACATTATAGTTTAAATTGCATAACAAGAAGCTTGAATAACATTCTAAGTGTGCAGGCATGCGTAATGTCTCTGAATTACATTATAGTTTAAATTGCATAACAAGAAGCTTGAATAACATTGGGTGAAGTGAAAGAAACACCCTCTAACTAATGTCCCAGGAAATACATCAGTCACGGCATTGTGAGCTGCACGTTCAAAGTCCAACTAATGTGGGACACTCATTTAAAGGTATCTCTAAAGAACACCACGCTTAATAATTTAAATGTGGGACACTCATTTAAAGGTATCTCTAAAGAACACCACGCTTAATAATTTAAATGTGGGACACTCATATAAAGGTATCGGTAATCGGATTAAGTAATTACCCGCTAGAATAGGTGAAATGCTCTCAGCTGAAAATGTGGCTCTACCGGCAACAGCCATTTCTGAAATGTGGCTCTCCCGGCTAGACACCATTTTATTTGGGTTTTGTAAAGTATGTTAAAATGGCCCCAAGTTTTGTCCAAAATACATCTTTTTTGAAGAGACTGAACAGAACGGGTTGGAGAAAATGTCCCTAGACATTTAGAGAACATAGACCCAAATTTTAGTGACAATGGACACTAATTTTGGAGAAAATTTCCCCGAACGAAACATAGTTGATGCGATTGTCCCCATTTGACATTATTAATTGTTATTTTGTTTGATTTTCATTTATTGGTAGGAAGCAATGTTACCTTAAAGGGAAATGACACTCCAAGTTTGAAGTATTGAGATGGATTGTCCTTTTCCTCGCAGATTCAAAATTTGCTTATTATGCCTATGGACTATTATTTTGTCTGGTTTGATTTGTGTTTGGCGCTATTCTTGCTGTGCGAAGCAATGTGACTCCTATCAGAGGATTGTAGAATGTGAAGCCGTGTTATGATTAACAAGGGATATATAATACAGAGCTGAAGACAAACTGACATGTGTTTTTGTTGTTGATTAATGCACACGCGACCTGAGAGGGTGAAGCTGTTGGTCAACATATTATGTACAATCGAAAACTACATACTGTCTCATCAGAGAATTCAGGTTAACGAACAGGTGATAACAAACTTGGTCAATAAAAATGTGAAATTTGAGATAAATTATCACTAGACGTGATGATTTACCATTTTAATTGTATTTTCTCTTCTGCTAGGCATTGTTTTATATGCAGAAATGAAGATTACCATGTGCATTGTCTCATAAACTAAGCAGCAATCAGCTGTACACACATTTTCTTGGAATCTACCAGTGATACGGTTTAAAATTACCAATAATATAATTTCAAAGAATTCTGATGCTATGATCTGAAGATTTGAAGCTGAAACTATTATTTTATCAGAAATAATATATTCTAATATCGATTTATTTTAGTTGCAGCTTTTACTGATTTCTAACAAAATGTCAATAACAATAAGCGTAGCACTTTGGAAAAAATTGATTGCTATTGATGGATATTTTAATATGTATAATATCAGGCAGTTCAGGGAATGTTTCCATCAAATGAACAATATCCCCTACATCTGGAGCTGTTAAAAAAAACATGTTCGATGTCACGTGTCAATCTAATATTTTAAACTATATATAGCGTTCAGGATAATATAACTTGTGTTCGTTTCTCAACTGAACACGTAAGTTGTTTCAGGTGTTTTATACAGGTGTCATGTCTCACTGGTCAGCCAAAGTCAAAGCCAAGTTTGTTGGGTTGCTCATGCTAATTGGCATCTGGTGATTAGGAGTTGGAGTGTTGTTTCCCTTTAAATATGGGGCCATTTTTACCAAATTGTTTTGGGCCATTTTTGCATGGGGCCATTTTCTCTTTAACCCATACATTCTCTGTTTGCATACAAAACACAGGACCGTGGTATTCCTTGACCTTGTTGGTATATAAAATGCACAGAAGTGCACATTGTGGGAGGATGTACTCCTATTATCTCAATGCTTTAGCATGTCATTGCAGTATACAAATAACCTAGCTGAGGGAAGATATCAAACTGATACTCAATATTCTAGTAATATGGAACAGAGTGAGTTAGTTTGTTTGTTGTTTAACGCCTCACTCAGCAATATTCCAGCTATAGGATGGCGGTCTGTAAAATAATCGAGTCTGGACCAGACAATCCAGTGATTGACATCATGAGCATCGATCCACACAATTGGGATTGATGCCCTGTACGAGCCTGACCACCCGATCCTGTTAGTCGCCTTTTACGACAAGCATAGTCGCCTTTGAGTGAGCAAGTAATTGTTGTGTTAGAGACCACTCATTTATTATAGGGATGTGAGTCAGGAAAGGGTCACCAAAACATATGACAGTCTCTAGGGGAGGGTCATAAAAGTTATACACATTCTGTGTGTTTTTCTTGCAAAAGAATTGGCTGCGGAAACCACTGTGGAAACAAGGATGAAATTTTGCTTTCACAATGTTCACTAATGTTGACATAAATCGAAAAGATTTTTGACAGAGTTATGGCCCTTGTTTCATCATTTGGATGTTCTGCACAGGAACCCAAATGATGACATGTTTTCACAGAAACCTCCATGCATACAAGGATGACATTTTTCATACATCATATGGGATAAATTTCGAAAACCAGCATCAAGAATTTTCTTTTCCAGTGTTTGCCTTTGAGTCTTCAGCATTCTTCAGGGGCAATTACATTATTTTCTCTGTTAATCCACCAGTTTTACCACTGCAATTATATAAAAAATTGTCTCAATCTTTTTTTAAGCAGATAATTTGGTTATTTTCAGGTGGTTGCTCCCCTGTCACGTAGAGTTGGTCGTCGGTGCATGGCTGATTTCACTGGAAATGCCAGTGATATGCAAGTAATGCGTTTTGAAAAGAGTAAGTATATGTGTCAGTACTTTGACATCAACCTCCAGTGTGATTTGCCTGTGATTCACCTTGTTCACTGACATTGTTGATATTTCAGGCTTAGTGGTTCATGATGATTTTACCCAAGGACATATGTAAGTCACATCTTTCTGTTAGAATAAGCCAAGTTATTTATTTAAATCGTAATCTTTTAATAGAAACTGATTTTTGTGCAACAATATTAAAGGAATACTAAATGTTTGCTGAAGTATGATTCTAGCAATGATGTCTCCACAAATTGCTCACAGACTAATTGTTTTCATACAATTTATAACATGACCAATTTATAACATGGGTTTGTATGGCAATTTTTTTATTTTTTTTGGACCCTAGTGTATCCCTACTATTGTTGCAGGATGGAGGAACATTCTTGTTGACCTTTTATTATAAACTTTATGATTTGATGTTAAAAAATTACAGAAACATTCAGATGAGCCACAGAGCCTTGTCATTCTATTTTTTTTTGTAATAAAATAATTTTATATATAGACCTCAATGGAGATTCAGGGTTAGAATTGGTCCCCTGCAACCTATGTTGGTTGAAAGAGGCGACCAATGGATCGGGAGGTGTGACTTGGTAGATTGTGTGTCATCGGAGTTGATTGTTGGATCTTCTGATCCCGACTCAGATTATCTTAAGGCTGCCATCATATAGCTGGAATATATATATTGCCAAGTGGGACATTAAACAACAAACTTGATAGTCTCCTGCATTGGCTTCCAGTTGTCCATAACTATCAGCGCTAATTACTGTAAACATGGTAGAGCATTAGCTTCCATTGTCTGTTGCTAATCACATATCAGTGCCAATTATCATGATTATCTATTGGCTTCCCTTGTTTAGTTTCTACCTTTTGTTATTTTATTACTTTTGTTGTCCTTACACGTACATATATGCTTTCTGCCTCATAGCATTCATTCACTGATGAAGGAGTAAGCATATACTCTGAACCGTTGAGTTCCTCAAAATAAAGAAGTTGACATCCAGAAACCCTCTTCCTCAGTTTCCATAGCCCCAGTCCTGTTAGGGAATTGCAACACAGTGAAGCAGTGAATTCCTGATGTCAGCTATTTTATGTATCCGCTTTACCTGTTCTTTCAGGTGTGAACCAGGTTAACCTACTTGGCCGCCTTGGTCGAGATGCAGAGTTGAGGGGGTCAGCAGAACATCCTGTTGTGGTTTTCTCCATGGCAACCAATTCTGTGTATACAAAACAAGACGGTAACCATTCCTGTCCCTCCTCTTCCTCTTTGTATGCAATTTTGTTAATTTGTGTAATAGCTTGAATTTGTCTTTGTTCTATTATAAAAACTCACTGCCAAAAGAAAGACGATCTATAGAAACATATGGAAAAGTATGTAGGTTAAGAAGAGATGTTTCCAATGTGTACCTATTTATGACAAAACTAACAATCAGTCAAGTGTCACCACGGTGTCTTTATTTTACATTATCTTTATATGCTGCATGTGATTTCCTAACTTTACACACTAGTCCTGCATGAGACAAATGGTGCATCTCTAGTCATGGACCTATGACATCACATGTGATGCGTTCATGAGCGTCGGTTCACATAACATACCAGTATGTTTGTTTGTGCATCGAACCAATATAATATCTCTTGAACATGAGTAAGTCTTTATACATTAACCAACATGTATGACATTCTTTTGTCCTTGAGTATATTATTATGTCAAAACATGTAATTTCACACCTGATTGGTTGAAACTGAAATGACATCACTTCCTGAATTAAAGAGCACAAATTTGGACGACCATCTCCCCGAACTGGAGTTTATGTGCAGCTGATATTCTTGTTATGGGGTCCCTGATATTGTAACAGGATTTTACCCAGGTGTTCTTAGATGCCGATGTTCCTCTTTGGGTCTGAAGCACTTCCATAGCCTCCCATTTTGTTTGTTTGTTTTTTGTTTAACGCTGCACTCAGCAGTATTCCAGCTATATGATAGCGGTCTGTAAATAATTGAGTCTGGACCAGACAATCCAATGATTGGCATCATGAGCATCGATCCACGCAATTGGAATCCATGACATGCATCAACCAAGTCAGCGAGCTTGACCACCCAATCCCGTTAGTCGCCTCTTACTACAAGCATAGTCGCATTTCACGGCAGGAATGGGTTGCTGAAGACCTATTCTACCCCGGAATCTTCACGAGTCTCCCATTTTGAATTATCGATGCCATTTAATGTAACAGGACTTATGTACAATTCGTTTTCTTGAAATTTTTGAAGTATCAAATGCTCACTACCCACCTCTCTCTCTCTCGCTCTCTTGCTATCTCTCTCTCTCTCTCACTCACACTTACTCTCTCACCATTTTCACCCTTACTGTTGCTGTTTCAGGTCAGACTTGTTTTCTTGAAATTTTTGAAGTATCAAATGCTCACTACTCCTCTCTCTCTCTCTCTCTCTCTCTCTCTCTCTCTCTCTCTCTCTCTCTCTCTCTCCATTTTCACCCTTACTGTTGCTGTGTTTCAGGTCAGACTGTGTCTCATGTAGACTGGCACAGGGTCAGTGTGTTCAAGCCTGGACTCAGAGAAAAGGTCGCCATTAACTTGAAGAAAGGGTATGCTTTGTCTGTAAAATTATTTTCTGTTTCGTGATCTTTTCAGGTCAGAGAGGTTAAATTAGTTTATATTTTGAATCCATTGCCGTTTCAGAAACTTTGGAAAACATATTCTACATATAACAGTTTTTTGAAAGGCTTAGGTTTGAGATTAACACTGGTAACTTTTCAGGCTGTAAATCTTCATGCATTAAATGTATGTAATATCAACCTGTGAGGATTCTGGGTTAGAACCGGTCTCCAGCAACCTATGCTGGTTGTACAAAGCAAGCAAATGGCTCGGGTGGTCAGACATGGATTAGGTGGTGTGTCTTGGTTGATAACGTGTCATCGTACCCAGACGGTATGGATTGTTGTTCACTATATTAACCACTGGATTGTATGGTCCACACACGATTTGCCAGTGGTACAGTTATGACCACTGGTGTGCCAACCGTGAATACATAGCTGCAATATTGCTGTCAGTGGCTGACAATCCCTTAGGTACAAGGATTTGTTGATTTTTCCCAGTTATGAGCCTTGGGTAGTCAGCACCAACTGTTAGCTTTTAGGCTTATAGAGATACAAATGTACTATTACAGTCAACTAACGGGATCGGGTGGTCGGGCTTGCTGACTTGGTTGATGCTTGTCATCATATCCCAGTTGTGTTGATCAATGCTCATGATGTCAGTCACTGGATTGTCTAGTTGAAAATTGACTATTTACAGAACACAATCATATAGCTGGAATATTGCTGAGTGCGGCGTAAAACAACAAACAAACTACTCAAAATAAGTTAAAGAACACCCAATGTTTCCATATTACTGTTATGCCATGACAGATCGACTTTAGTAATATGAAAGAATTGGGTGTTCTTTAACTTCTTTGAGTAGCATATTAGAGACAGTAACGTGAGGGATTATGAAACACTCTGAAATATTTTTCTCAGAATTTGACTGCAATTTGTATAGTTTTTAGTCATGTCAGATTTTGAGATGTTTAAACATACTGCCACATTTTAAGTTCTATTTTCTACTTTTCTATGTGCATTATGTTCCAGTGACCGAGTATTTGTGTCAGGAATGTTGCGATATGATGAATATGTGGATTCAAATGAAAATGTCCAGAAATCTTCAACAATCCTTGCCTGTGAGTATGAGTCTGTTGAATAGGGTTATTTAACTTAATTGCGTCATGTGTATTTCAAGTATCCAGTACAGAAAGGAGGGAGGGAGTGAATGTTGTTATAAGTCACAGTCAGCCATGGGTATTCTGGGATAGAATCTTCCCAATGCTGGTCGGTGGTGGCGACTTAGTTTAATGGGTCAGGTGGTCAGGCAAGGTAACTTTGTTGATAATGTGTCGATGTACCCCGACACCATGGATTGTTGCTCATGTATGAATCAGGCGACTATGCTTGTCGTAAAAGGCGACTAACGGGATCGGTTGCTCAGACTCACTGATTTTGCGGGGTTGATGCACATGATATTAATCACTGGATTGTCTGGTCCGGACTCGATTATTTACAGACCGCCGTCATATAGCTGGAATATTGCTGAGTGGGGCGTTAAACAACAAACCAACCAACCAAATCATTTATGAATCACTGGATTGTCTGGTCCAGGTGGAATATAGCGGAGTGCAGCAGTAAGCAACAAACGTACACCCACCTAAACGAGAACCTTATTGTGGCTGATGAATTAATGAAACTGTTGTATTTGATAGGAACTCAGTAATGCTTGAGAATGATAAGGACACTTCAGTCAGTTGTGGTCAAACAGCTGAAGGATGAAGGAAGGTGTTATTTGATACTTCTCTGATCCAGATTAGATCCCTCCTATCTTACAATTGTCATAGGGTGGGGACCCGTGAAGATCCTGGGTAGAATAGGTCTTCAGCAACCCGTGCTTGCCGTAAAAGGCGACTATGCTTGTTGTAAAAGAGGCGACTAATGGGATCGAGTGGTCACGCTCACTGACTTGGTTGATGCATGTCATCGATCCCAGTTGCGTGGATCGATGCTCATGATGTCAGTCACTGGATTGTCTGTTCCAGACTCGATTATTTACAGACCACCGTCATATAGCTGGAATACTGCTGAGTGCGGCGTTAAGCAACAAACCAACCAAATCATAGGGTGGGAGAGCCATGTAATGAGAGTCATGTGGTTTCAATATGTGGCCTGGATGACTGAGTCATTGTACTGTAACTGGCTGGCTCAGTGCTCATGCTATTAACCTTTGGTCTGCCAAGATTGCTTTGCTGGGTGACATGTTTTAATAAACAAACTAAATATCCAAACATGTTTCATTTTCTAGCGGACCTTGTGAATCTGACAAAGAGGTACCTTGGTTCAGAAGATTCATAGACTGGGGGAGGACATTAGCTCAACTGGAAAACAAGACAAGACTGAAACATTTCACTGTAATGTTTTATTATTACTGGGGGCTGGTGATAATATGATACTTAAAGAATTTGATTTTACAGGGGCACTGATCTCTGACAATTCTCTGGGACTGGCTGTTGCTGTTGTTATTTGTTCTTTCCCCGTGACTGAAATATTGAGACATTTTATGAATTGCCTTAGTGAATCACAGTTACACTTTGACTGTAGCTTTTACTCACCTGAAAATGAAAGGCTTGTGAAAACTCGTCTCTCATTGAAGAACTCCCAACGATAACATTATTGTCACTCAACTGATAAGGTGTGAAGTCTTATTGGTCAGCTGTGAAAGCACACGTGACAACTACTTTCATGATGTCAAGGATTTAGGAAAAAATCCATTGAGTTTGCAAACAATGAGCAATCAATCAAGGTATTATAGGTTAATCCTTGGAACAAAGTGTGTTGTTTTTTCTGAAGGCACTTCATGTCCAGATTTAGGTGTATTCCGAATGCTTTAGTAAACCTACATTTGTAAACAAATACTTTTGACAAATCCACTGTGCCAGATAACACTGATTAATGAATCAACATATTATAAGTTTAATTGTAATATTTAATCAATCTTTAATCCTTTAATCAATATTTTCTTTGTAACTCAACTGATCATTGTCTCTTGCTGGGCTACCATGTGCATATTACGTAACATGTAATACATTCACATCAGACCTGGATTTATAAGCCAGTCTTAGATTGAATAATTACCCAAGGCCTGAGAAATTGCAAATGTGAATTTTTGTCAGGTAATCTGAGTGGCACTACCCCGTAATAAGTTCATTAACTGAGCATTAAGTGATTGATGACAAGAACACCGGTGTATGACAATAAAGGCGTAGTAATCATATTATGTGCAGTTTAGTTGCCTGAAAAATAAAGGGTTGTTGCTGTTTTGTTGCAAAAATACTACGTTCATGTATTTGATGTATACCGTATATGACCGCGTATAAGCCGAATTTTGACGACCAGAAAAAAGATTCTGTAGAAAGGGGTCGGCTTATACACGGGATACACTTTCATGATAGTATTTTTCAGATCGTGATCTGTCAGAAACATCGCCTGAATGACGGTCCGATAGATTACAACTTCCCGAAAACATACAATAGTGGTTTAAAGGGGGTTAGTGGTTTAAAGGGGGTTATAAAAGTTGGTATATTTTTACTGACTGACATTCTCATCATGAGTTTGAAACGAAAACGCCATGCTTACGATACTGAATTCAAACTGCGAGTCTTCGCTTTAGCTGATATATTTTCTCACGGGTTCATAATTTTATATACACCGATTCACAAAATGGCGCTTCGTTGTTGATGGCAACATATAACGATCATTATGAGACTAAAAAAAACCAAGAGAAACAGCTTCCCACATTATGAAAGTGGATGACTGGTTTGTTAAATCTTTATTAGAAATAATAATGACTTTTTCAATATAATTACAACGTTTTTCATCGTATATTTTTGAATATCTGCGAGTACCGGCACATGTCTGGCAGTCCGACTTCGCAGTGCTTTTTGCCTTTTACTTCCTGGTTTGGCTTATCTGCGGGTCATATTATTTTCTTTCTTATTTCAATGGTCAAGTTAACACCTCGGCTTATCTCCGGGGTCGGCTTATCCGCGGTCATATACGGTACTGAAGTACATGATTGTACATACACATTAACTTAATGGTTTCTTTTTATTATGCCCCACCCAAATGCAGTTTTGCAGGGTATGTAGAAACGTGGTCCGTCCACCACTATTCGTTCCCGGAGCATAACTCGTAAGCCGTTAAAAATTTGTTCATACAACTTCGAAATGCACATCAAGCATACACTGAACTGGAGCAATGTGCTGTTCAGGAGTTTCAAAGTTTGTGTCAGCTGTCCTCACAGATGTTAGCCCAGTCTCTTGTCACGCTCAGTTGCGTTAGCCAGCAAATCAATTCGCAGCAGGTAATGAGTCCTAGCGAGCAGTTAGACAGCCAGGGGGACGCCAGAGATTAGTGCCCCTTTAAAACCATGTAATATCTTTAAGATTCAGATATTGCTTACTGTTTATAGAAAACTCTTTGTCGCATTTCGTATTCTTTATTATGATCTGTATTTGTTTATAGGAATCAAAAACCATATGTGTTCTGCTTCGTTAAAAGGTCTGATGTGCAGGTACATGTTAGACTTTTGAAAACTTTTTGTGACCAAAGACAAATTTAATCCATGTGTATTTTTGTTTGTTAATGATGCTGTTTGCTTTTTTCAATATTGTTATTTAGAAGATTGAGTATCTTTGTCATTATGTTCTATTTGAAAGTGCACTTGAATGAGCATCTGGGTCAATTCTGGGTCAATATTACTGATAGAATTAAGCCATGCCAGCAAAAGGCAGCCAAGTGTTGACATGCATCGTAAAGGCTTGAAGATGATATGATTATTAGAATCTCTGTTCAGATCATGTAAACATAAAACCGGGGGTTGTCTAAACATAGCATTGCATCTCAGTCGCTGCAATACGCATTCATTTGAGTTATAAAAACAACGAAGTTTTCACTCAAATGTATAAAAGTATTTAGACGATTGAAAACTTTGATCCACTGGAACATATTTGTCTCAGCTTAATTTTTGGAATACTTCAGCGCAAACGTGGATTTTGTATAATATTTTCTGATTGAACTATCAATATGTGCTGTAGTCCACTCATTTAGCACAAAAAAGTAGGTTTGAAATGGCAAGGATGGAAACTAGACTTCAATAAAGGCTAGTGGACATGCTTGCCTCAGGAAGATGAATCCATTGCTGACAATGTGTAGTCATATTTCCTTTTCAGTGGGCAAGTTGATATTAAATGTTGTATCAGCAATATCTTAGCTGCATGTTGACTCAACAAATATATGAATACATGCATGGCTTCAATCATTATTCTTTTCACTCATTATTCCAAAAAAATGTTAATGAAAAAGATTTTGGTGAGCTTTTGATATGCTTGAAGTGTAGCAGGTTTTATCTTAATGTGGCTGAAAAAGTTTTGTGAAGATCATGTTTTGAGCCTAAGTATTATGGTACATGGCTGGTATTCAAAAATATGATGATTATTTTTTATTATCATGTGTGCTTTGTACGGAGGAGATGGTGAGGATGTTATTGAGGTGCAAGAATTGTGATGGATGATAGAGACAATACAGCACTGAACTCTCTGATTATTTCATGCTCCCTGGACCCTAAACTAGTAAAATCTCCCTGCTTCAAGAAGTAGAACTGTTGGTTGTACCAGCATCCTCTATGATCCACTGTATTATGTTGCCATTCTATTATGATAAATACCTGGCAACCATTTACCCCTAGCTTTGTTTAGGAAGTGGCATCACCCTCAGTTCCTCCTATCTCTAGGCAAAGGATTTCTCATGAACATAAACATAATTTGTTCCGATGGCTTTTTTTTGCGTTTTATTTCAATCAGGCCCAAAACATAGCTATGGCAGTGAATCTGTCCTGGGTATTTATTACAATAAAATAGGGATATTAAGCACTGGATTATCGAGATTGGTCACCAGCTAATGTACAGGAGTTTATTTGTGAGCTCTTTTAATCAGAGGTGGTGCTGTTGGCCAAACAAATAGATATATCATTACTCACAGGTTAAGATTTATGTTTCTGGAAACTAGTGTTAGAATTATGTTGTGATCTGCCAGGGATACTCAGTCGTGTGACTAAATGTGCTGGTCAGCTGTGAGGTCAAAGTATCACATCACATTTTCACGTGACAGATTTTCCAAACCAGTGTTTGTTTGTTTGTTTGTTGTTTAACGCTGCACTCAGCAATATTCCAGCTATATGAAGGCGGTCTGTAAATAATCGAGTCTGGACCAGACAATCCAGTGATTGACGTACATCATGAGCATCGATCCACACAAATGGGATACGATGACATGCATCAATCAAGTCAGGGAACCTGACCACCCGATCCCATTAGTCGCCTTTTACGACAAGTATGGGTTGCTGAAGACCTATTCTACCCTGGGTCCTTATGGGTCTCCAAACCAGTGACTGGACAATCAGATCACTATGTTATATTTGGTAAACTAATGATCAGGATATTCTCAAATACATGTATGTGATAGCACATACTAACATTTTGATTGTTGCATTGGTTCCTATTTCCATTGCAGTACTGTATAACTTGATGTTAATTGTATTGAAAAAAAATGATAAAATTCACACCTGCACTTTGAAAGCATGTGGACATCAAACATGGCCCTTCAAACCTTTGTGTGAAGCATGAGAGTGTGAATACCTGTGTGATGTGTGAATAGAAAGTGTACATTGTTGATGATCTTACAACTGAGATGTATTTGTAGAACAAATAAAGAATCTATTCTTATGTGTTTTTATGTTTAGATGACAGGGATGCAAATTAACGTGAGCGTACTAGCCAAAATAGTGGTAACAGGTAAGCCTGAAATTTCATCTGGCTCTCCGGTTACCTGAGACAACCAAGTTGCATCACTGGATGAAGAATAGTAATTTGTTTTCCTTGCCTTCATCAACATCTATTTCAGGACTATAGATGGAATGAGATTGTAACAAAGAGGGTTTTAGTGAGTTTTGCCAAGGTTCATTGCGGTTCATTTTCATAAAGGTTTAGGTGTTCTACAGTTGTCTAAACCACAACGGGATTGGGTGGTCAGGTTCGCTGTCTTGGTTGATACATGTCATTGTATCTCAATTGCGTGGATCGATGCGCATGTTGTCAATCACTAGCTTGTCTGGTCCTGATTCTATTATTTACAGACCGCCGTCATATAGCTGGAATATTGCTGAGTGCGGCGTTAAACAACAAACAAACTCTAAACCACAAGGCCTACACTTACGAAGCTGAAACTTTGCATGCATGATCCCCCAAATGAACAAATTAAAATAATTGCTGACAGTTCTGATTGTATTTTACACATGGTCACCAGCGTTTGAATAGGTCACCGTGTATCTGTTGCTTGTCCTAGAGCCCACATACCTGGTGTTAAAGCATTGAGTCTTGGTTCATCGACTGTCATCGTACCTACAACACTTGGGGATTAGTTACCACGCCAAGCTCACACCCCGTCATGTTATTGAAATATTGTTCAAAGCGGGTTAACTAAAGTCCCACTCATCGCTCACCACGTGGTGTGACATTGCTTGTAATATCAACTACTGACCTACCTGCTACAGCTGGAATATTGATGAATTCTGCGTTGTCTGCCAATCATGTGATTACACAAAAGACCCCATCGGGATTCCCGGTATGAAAGGCCACCAGCAGCCTGTGCTGGTCGTAAGAGGCGACCTAGTTGATCGGGTGGTCAGGCTCGGTGACCGTTGATGGCGTGTCCTCGTACCTCGAGAGCGTGGATCGATGCTCACAATATCGACCACTTGATTGTCTGGTCCAGACTCGATTATTTAGTCAGTCGCCGTGTTGCAGAGTGCATGCTGCGTAAACAACAAACAATTACTCAAACATCAGACTCAAAACGGATTGCAACGAGGATATCTGATGACCATGTCTGGGACAGTAGGTGCAGCGACAACATCAAGTTCTTCAACAAAGCAAAGGGCGTATCATCCATTAGCTCGACATGCAGCAATTAATTATTACTTATCGCTGTGCATCACACAGTGTTTTAGCACCAGCATAATATGACCTGTATCTTTTTTATGATTTGATAAGTAAACAAAACCGACATTGCCTTCCATCGACATGATTGTGCAAACGGGCCAACAAAGTGAGCAGTACAGGAGTTCGGAGCCTGATGAAAATATTCCTTAGTGGAGTGGGAGCTTTCTGTTCAATGTCTCTTGTAGTTTCACGTTTCAAATCAATGAATAACAACAAATAAAACGAGATGAAATGCAAGAAAGACACCGACAGTTTTAAAATAAACACTTCTATGCCTGGTGTGTTGGTGTTGCTTAACAACTGCTGGGTGCTAGGTCTTGATAAAATTCATGCAATGGTACTTTGATTTGTTTGGTTTTTTTCTTTCTGAAAATTCAGCCTATTATGTTTCTAGGTTTTCAGCACCGCCCCCGTGGGTTTCACCAAAGTGGTAAACGTCTAAAACCTGCATCACTTCGGACTTTCTTCCCACACGAAGCTGACGCGCCATGATATAACTGGAATGCTGTTGAAAGCGGCGTTAAACCCAACTCACACTTTCTGAAAATAGTTTCATCATTTTCGAACAAACGTGTTAGGACGTGTGCCAAGTATGCCTCAAAACTTGAGGAAATATTCTATTTATTCGTCATCGAACGTTTAACTCGCCCCTAAGATGTTAATAAATTACCATGTCAAATCAGTATCAAATCTATTTTATAACATACAGAGTTGCCATTATATTTGATGCGGTCAGTGGCATAACTACTGCGTAGCACAAAAAGCAATTGTTTACACTGTTTACCACCCATCCCCCAAAAATTGAAAAGAAAACACATTTTTCATATTTGCACTTTCTAAATTAATAAGATAGCTATGAAATATAGCCCACTCTCACACACTTGCCCATGGCATGTCGTATTGTAAGGTTGATTTCACTGATTTAGCTTTAAGTCACAGTGAGAATATTATAGTTGGAATAAAGTTTCCTCAACACGATTAAAAACATATATTACATTTATGGAATCTCACAATGGCCAGTTCTTCTGGTTTCCCTTTGAATTTTAGTTTATGTATTAAGCACAGGTTCTAAGGTAACGACTTTTTTACGCTAACTCTTTTTCTTTTCTGTTTTGTTTAACGCCGCCCTCAGAAATATTCCAGCTATATGACGCCGGTCTGTAAACAATAGAGTCTGGATCGGACAATCCAGTGATTGACACCATGAGCATACGATGGCATGCATCAAACAAGTCAGCGAGCCTGATCACCCGATACCTTACATATCTGAGCGACCTGAAATCGTTCAGACAAACTCAATGCACACCATTGAGAAGACAAGGAGCCTGACTTGGGTTCGAATCTGTACTGTTACCTTACAATTTTGCAATTTATCAATGTGGCATCAATATTGGAGGCATTATTACTGGAATCTGCTTGTGTTTGGTTCCCCTTGTATTTGTGTCTGTAAGCATGTGTCATGTAACATAACACACTACTTGTGTTTGATCTGATATTTGCTTATTTAAAAACAATTAAAATGGCCTTATAAAGTACTCAAGTTTCCTAGGCAACATAGTAAAGATCGAGCTCTACTATGTCAAGCTGTGCAGCATGCATGTGCTACCAATTTAGATATTCCTAGTTACGCCCCTGGCGATAAGGCACAACATTTACTTTCTTCGTACAAAACAAATTGACAAAATAATATTATTCTTGTTCCTTATGAACTCTGCTTAATTATATGTTTACTCATTCTGAAAATGAAACCCGTTTCGCATATATGTACGGATCAATGAAAATAATGATCCCCCGAGAAAGAAAACAAATAAGCGAAAGTTAATTACAGGGCGTGTTGACGTTCGTGAAGCGTTTCAAAGATTTTGTAATCATAAGATGCGGAATCGGTAATAATAAATAGCGTAGCACGTGAACATTGTAATAAGAATATGAACATAAAGAGTATCTAGGTACACGCCCCAAGGACGTATGTTGTACCCTTAAACCTACAATGATCTTAAGTCTACAATATTCATGAGTGGGCGGAGCTTATGTGACCGCGTCACACTGGTTTCGGACGCACTGCATCTCAACTGAACACGGAATTCATATTTCGGAGTCGGCATCGTTATGACAACGCGTCAAAACACTGTATGTTAAACCACGCCCACTCCTGATTAACACGAGCAATAATGACGGCACCAAATGAGAGAGCAGCTGGGATTGGTTCGATTATCCCATAGGGAGGCATTCGCGTTTGGTTGGTATACACATTAGCGTTTGTTCTCGTTCCTTGTAACACACAAGCATAAACGTTCATTTCATACCAGCTTTTGAGACTTAAACATGCATTGCTGACGTACACGACGGAAAAGCTGAATTTCGTGCCATTTTGTTTGCCTAAAAAGTAATGCTTCTGATATAATCTAAAGTTATATTGCTTTCGGGGGAAATGGGAACAAGCGGCACTTTGCGAGTTGTCGTCTGCTTCATGCTGACGCTGGCATTTGCGGAGAAAACTCCTCTTTACATTGGCGGGTTTTTCCCAATGACTGGACCGAACTCGAATGAGGGACAGACAACCCTTCCCGCCGTCCAGTACGCCATTGACATGGTCAACAATAGAACGGACATCCTTCCCGACCACGAGATTGTGTTGGTGTGGAACGACACACAGGTAAGATTTGTTTGTCAGAACTATTCCAACTCTCCCACGGTAGCTGGTATATAATCAATTATGGTCCAGACAAGCCACGCCGTTTGGGTGCGATGACACGCAAAGTTGACCACCTGATAATTTTTTTTCGATTTTCAAGCAAATAAAAAATCAATAGTTCTTAACCCAGGTCCCCACGAGATGCCGAGGGCCCACTTGCACAAAGCGGTCTCGGCGCTAAGATGATCGAAACTACCATTCTTTAACGTAGGCTTACGATAGTCGTAGCGCTAAGATCCCTTCGTGCAAGTGGGCCCAGACGCATAAATGTTTATCTTACCTGTATCTCATTTTATAAGAACGGCGTTATCTTGACTGAATTGACTGCCTCCGCGGTCTAGTGGTAGATCGCCCGGAGAGCGGGTTCGATCCCCGCCGACGCGCCACACCAAAAGACGTTAAGAGATACGTGTTGTCACTCTACCCGGCGCTCGGCGTTAAGGGGCTAAAACAAGGACTAGTCGCCTCGGATTGAGTATTCTGTGTCTGAAAAGGGTGTTCATGTTAAACTGCTGCTGGGTATCTCAGTGGGCTAGCACTATAAAATCGGCAGTAGTCCGGACTAGTACAAGAAGTCACACACACATATGCTAAGATATCTCTATAAAAGTGAAATTGTAACGCCCCTGGGTAACCTTGTTTGGATGTCACACACACAAACGCACGCACGCACACATGCACGCACACATGCACGCACACACAAACATGCACGCACAAGCACAAGCACGCTTACACACATACACACATACACACACACAATGATTATGTGATCAAGACTTGTGTCTTCTTTGTTGTGCCACAATGACAACATGTCATGGTGTGTCCTCAGCTGAACTCAATAACCACTTACCTATTCTTATTGGTATTATATACAGAGAGATAAATAAAATCTAGCCGTAGAAAGAAATGAAAATGACTGAAGTTGTTCAAATGAATAATTGGGTAACGGAGAAAAGAAACGTTTACGTGAGGCCTTACATTTTCTTTTGCTTGGTTTCCGAATCCGCCAAACATAAAAAATCAAAAATTCATGAAACAAATATTATCAGAATAAAAAGTTTTTTTATACCGCCGACGATAAAGATCGATGTGACAATAAAAATAATCAAGGGATTTTTAATGACTAAAACAGAATTTTGTGCGGAGTTTTGATTTATAATATGCATAAGGATTTACCGACATAAATATAGAAGATATTATATAGTAATATTTGTGTTTATTCTGGTTGTTCGTTCTTCCATTGAAAACTCGTATGTCAAAAACTTGTCTGTTGAAACTCAAGCTCTATAAGTTGGCGATAAGATACATTGATTCGCTCCATTGTATATTTGTGTTCTACAGAAAAATAAAATAGAAATGAACGAAAGTTGCTACAAAAAATGCGGAGGATGAAATATAACATGTACTGTGTATCTGTATATAATATCGTTCTGCTGCTTGGTGCAATCGTCTATCAGCAACCACTGTGCATCCTGATATATACGATCATATGTTTGAGGTTACTCTTTACCCTTCTGTAACCTTTACTTCACTTCCATGCAGTGGTTTTGCATCTCTGATAATCGTAGCACTGCTGTCATGGGATATTAATTTAAACTATCCAAAGCTCAACTACATTTTACAGGTGAGCTACACGACCCTTGACGATGTATACTGCTTGTGACCCTTCATAATAAGTGTATTCTCGCTGTAAACGCATCGGAAAATTAAACACGAGAACTTTTAAAAGTTTTGAAATAGATGACGAAAATAAAAATCTCACGTTAAATTTCGTGAATGACACCGACGAAAATCGAGTACAGGTTATTCTAACAAAAACACGCATTCTTGTTACATCAAGCTCATGGGGGTCACGGGTGGCCCGATCGTCTAAGGCTGCGATTCGCTGAGCAGAGTTGCGTCCCTTCGGCGCGCAAGAAACCTATGATTGTGGGTTCGAATCCCTGTTCGCCCCGATTATGTTTCTAGGTTTGTCAGCACCATACCCGTGCTTGTGGGTTTCACTGAAATGGTAAACGTCTGAGACCTGCATCACTTCGGGCTTTCCTCCCACATTAAACTGACACGCCGCGATATAACTGCAATACTGTTAAAAGCGGGATTAAACTCACTCACTCACTCAAGCTCATAATCATGATGCTGTGGCGATGGATTCATACTTCTGCTTATGTAATAAAGAATGTGCAGTATCCAGTGGTGTCGATGTTTTGATGTCATGTCTAGCGTTTTGATATACCCATTTTGGGATTCCGTGTCAGAATAGGTGCACAGAACTCATTGCTTTTTCACTTGTAAAATATGTACTTAACGCAGGATTTGGAATAAGGTACTGTTGCTCGAGAAACGTCATCATGTGTGCGACCTAATTCCATTCCGCCGACTTAGTGGTCTTATGGATAAAGCGTCTGCCCAGAGAGCGGGAAGTCGGTGGTTCGATCCCCTGCCGCGTCAAATCAAAAGACGTTACAAATGGTACTTGTTACCCTACCTGGCGCTCGGAGAATACAAAAGCAAGTTGGTGCGGCCACACACACGTGTATGCATGCAGGTCGCTATGCAATTACAATAGACGTTAAACCCAATTTCACCTCACCTCAAACTCCACTCACTCAGTGACAGTTTACTGTTATTCACAGGGCAGCAACACCGTGAGCATGAAGCTCCTGTTCGACCTCATTCAAACCCCGCCGAAGAAGCTGATGCTGCTTGGACCGGTCATGCCCAAGATGGCGGCACATGTTGCTGAAGCTGCCACCGCCTGGAATTTACTTCAGGTGAGTTTGAACTATTGAAGCGAATGCTATAGAATTTTAGATTATGATCTGAAATGGCGACATATAAATGTAGTTTCCAATGTCATTTACGGTTCTGAAAAGGTAAATTTGATTATCCACAAAAAGGTGAAGTACATGGTGACCCTGTAGCCGAAATCAGGATTACTCATGGCTGTGTCATTTCAAAATCCAATCTCATTAATATCAGATCTTTTACTACGGTACCCCTCTGCGTGAGATCTGACAGCCCCTCTGTCGATGGGCGCGTCAGGTGAACTTTGTCCGCCCAATCTAAATGAAGTGTGTGTGTGAGTGTGTGTGTGTGTGTGTGTGTGTGTGTGTGTGTGTGTGTGTGTGTGTGTGTGTTTTCTTAAGCCAATCAGATGTTTCCTTCTAAAACGATTCGCCATTTATTATTGACCACTTCCATTCAGAAGTTTCGTATTTGTCAAATGAAATCCCCCACACAACACAAATATTCTTTCGATGGTCCTCTCTTTGGATGTAGATGCCATCGCGCTCAGAAACGAGTGTGTAAATATGCACGCAGATTGGCTGGATTGAAAGTTCCCCTGATGCGACCTCCTACGGATGGGTCTCAGGTCATCATGCAGAGAGGTGTGGTATCGGAATAAAATATCTGATTTTAATTATATTGTTTCAAACCATTTTTTTTTATGGGGGGGGGGGGGGGGGGGGTGCTGATTTGGTAACAACAATCCCACGTTTGTGAACATTATGTTTTAACATGTATGTTGAATGTTTCTCAGATATGACCTAGATAAAATGGTTTCATAAAACATCGGCTTCAGTTTTGGCATACTGCCAAGCAAAGTCTGCCCGTACCAAACCCAAAGCATTTTTGCAGGGGATATATCTGAACAAATAAACGTTTGGATTATACACCAATACGCACAGCACAACGATGAACGGAGGTCCTGGTTGGGACATGATTGATATGACCTCATCCTCGACTGGACGTTTCTGTAGCACAGAACACCCTGCTCGCGGTGTCCTCATAACGTCATTTTTCGTGTCAGTAACAAACTACCATTGATTATAATGGTCCCTTGAAACCATCTGTGTATTTACTTCTTGGTGTGAATCATTTTGCCAATTTACCACCAGATGTCATTCGGAGCTCGGACACCGGACCTCAACTGCCGAACCCGTTTCCCCTACTTCTACCGAACTCTGGGACCAGATCAAGTGTTCAACCCTGCCAAGGTGGCTCTGTTCCAACATTTCCAATGGAAACGCGTGGCCTGTCTGTACGAAGATGACAAGTATAAGATTTATTCAACGGTAAGCACTCGCTGATGTCATCATCTATAGCCATGAATAGAATTGTACATCATTCGGTGAGCGTGCATTACATTGTGTAGAGTGTCAGTATACCGTTTACCTAAAGTAGAACATATTTTTGTGAGTACCAATCGCCAGCACAGAAAGCGTTGGTTTAACGCCGCTTTGAACAGTATCAGTTATATCATAACTGACAAAAAGCGAAATTTTCAGATGGCCACATGGGCGGACCAAATTAATCAAAATTATTCAATGAGAACGTCATGTCATGGTTTCTTTGTCAAGACCAGAAATGTACGAGTATCGTGATAAACATCTTGCAATAATGACACATATAAGGAAATGCATGCGGAGACCTTATCATGGTATAACTGTCGATTGCATTATTGTATCATTCAAATATGACATGATAGAAGGGGGGAAAGTCAATATTCTCACATGGCATTTTATTCCTTGTACCCATGAAGACCCGGGGTAGAATAGGTCTTCAGCAACCCATGCTTGACGTATAAGGCGACTATGCTTGTCGCAAGAGGCGACTAACGGGATCGGGTTGTCAAGCTCGCTGACTTGGTTGATGCATGTCATGGTATTTCATTTGCGTGGATCGATGCTCATGATGCCAATCACTGGATTGTCTAACCCAGACTCGATTATTTACAGACCACCGTCATATAGATGGAACATTGCCGAGTGAAGCGTTAAACAACAAACAAACACACAGTGATTGATATGTTGTGTTTAACGCCTCACGGCGTACGAGGACACGCAAGAGTTTTGACACCCGTTCCATTTTGCCTCCTCGTATGTCAGGCATAGGTTACTGGAGACGTATTCTAATGCGGGATCCTCTAGGTCATTCTAAACAATTTAGGTAGTAGAGGCTTAATTTAGTACAGTGTGACAAGTTCCAACGAAATTAATAGGTATGGGTATACCATTTTCATAAAGCTCATTATATGCTATATAAATTAAATAATTCAAATAATACCATCGTTAATACTTGTTTGATAACGGTGATAGAACCTACACCGAAACGTCGCTCTTATTTGAAATAAAGAAGTTGTTCATCCATAAATCTTATCCTAACTTCGTACTCCAACTTATAAATGCCTATCAAAGATATTAACATAGTTTTTGTCAAAAACACTATCACACATCATACAGATGATATCAGAAAATAATGACTGGTTATTGATATACATTTGCCTTACCAAGATATACGTATTTGTTTTAACGTTAATTATATCCAGTATATCCTCATTATTTACGTAGCTTTTACAAGCAATGTTATTTTATGTTTTTCATTTGAACCCATGACGTGACGTTGATATATTGCATGCAAAACATGAATGATACATGTATTACTACCGCGGATCTGAGATTGTAATCACCCCCAGTGACGCGGTGAATGATAGGATGACACGGGTATGAAATATGATGATACCTTTCTCATTAGTAATGTAGACACCGCCTGCAGTGTTTCACATTATTCTTGTGTCTTGTTTCGTGACCATCGATAGTAATAAACACTATGTATAGGACAAGTAAAAACTTAATTAACCGTGAAAACACCATCCGTTGATGATTCATTAGCTTGCTTTGAGCGATGATTATCGGCAAACGTGACACATAGCAGCAGTATGCATCAGTTGTATAAATATGATAAATGTGATTTGGTTAATGGCAAGTGAGTGAGTGAGTGAGTTAATGCTTTACGTCACATCGGCAGTTTTTCAGCCATATCGTGACGAGAAGTTATACATTTTTAATACTTATATTTAAACTAAATAAAACCTGTCATCGATGGACAGTATAATTACTAGAATATCACAGATTAATGTTTAAAACTAGCATACAACCATAAAAAGATATCACTAAACGAAACAGTACAATATAAAAAAGGGCTGTTCCCTCTAAGTCGGAATTATTATAGTCCAGTAAGTATTAACGAATGTGACTACTGCTGACTAATTTTCGATGATGGGCGTCGAGGTAACCTTGTTAAGCATTCTCTCGTCACGCCGAAGACCCAGGTTCGATTCCCCACATAGGTACAATGTGTGAAGCCCATTTCCCCGGGTTACCCGCCATAAAATTGCTGGCATATTGCTAAAAGCGGCGTAAAACATACTCATTCACTCACTCATTAGTTTCGGTGAAATATTTCAGTGTGACAATTAGATCTGTTAGATGATGGAAACTTGCAATACACACTTGTTTCTAATCCCAGATTCGCCCTGATTGTGATTGTTGGTTTGACAGCACCATACCCTTATTCGTGGGTTTCACCAAAGTGGTAAACGTCTGAGACCGGCATCACTTCGGGATTTCCGTCTTCATATAACTGAAATACAGTTATCAGCGGTGACAAATTCACACACCCACTCGCTCATAACGTCGGGAGTGGAAATGGGGTTTATCGTCACGTTCAAGATTATTGCACTTATATAGCTGCGTGCGTGCGTGCTTGTACAAGTCCGGAATAATGCCTGTTTAATAGTGATTACGTCGCAGTTTATTAAACACGGTTACCTATTCAGACACAGTACACACCGAGCAGACCGGTACTTGTTTGTTTTATCCCCTAATGCCGAGAGTCATCTTAGAACATATTTTGGTATAACGCGGGCAGGGATCGATCCACCGACCATCCGCTCTCCGACACCGACTCTCTATCCACTTGATCACAGGGGTGCTCTTACTCAGATAACTTCAATAATGCCTGCCCTTGCCTGATTGTTCTTCGTACTTAAAGAGAGATATTTATATAGGCTATGCCTGTTTATCAATCCCCATTTACTGTACCAAGTGGAAATATATACATATCGTTGATGGCCATTTGGAAGTTTCAGGAAATAATCCTTGACACTTTTATGGATAAAACTGCTTTACAAACAACAGGCTGGATAACATCGTCCTTATTTGTAAAAAAAAGATAGCTGTTATCCATAGAAAGTTTCATGTCGAGGAAATGATATTAAAAAACATTGATAAAGCAGAACGTTGGTGAATTGTCCACGCGACAAAATTGAAGCAGATGTTAAACAGAAGAACGTCATATTGTTCCAGGCATAATCACGTCTGTCAAGAATGAGGTTGTAGTTTCGAATGTTGGTCAATGGTATATGTAATAAACCATGTTGCATAAAGGCAGTTTGAAAAAAGCAAAATGCAATGCTGAATTATGAAAGTAGCATGTAGCTTAATGTAATTTCGCACAGATCACCTGTCCTGCAACCGCATCCTATATGTATATTGTTGAACCAGGCGAAGGATCACTTCGTGGATCTATGGAAAGCTGGCGGTAATGAGATTGTGGCGTCCGAATGTATCACCGACACCGGTGCTTCTCTCGACAAACTCAAGGTAGGCTGCGCTCGACTCAGGACGTTCCTCGTTCGCTCATTCTAATTATATATGCATAAGTGAAAAAATGGGTGATTACCGTTAACATATTTACACGAAATTTTGCATATAGTAAGTAAATGCAAGCTGTAACTAAGGATGTGTACTGCATTGTGATAAGTAATGAGCAATGCATTTCTAATGAAGTTGCAACAGAATAATTTAGTTGCTTTTCTATGTTCCCAGATTGATTATTTATAAGAAATACGAATTTTACAGATATATCATACTTAAATACCCGCACTGAATTGAATGTTTGCTTATAAATACCCGCACTGAATTGAATGTTTGCTTATAAATACCCGCCTTGGATTTGGATATATATGGGAGAACCAATGTTATTTGCCCCGAATCATTTATTTCCGAATGTGAAGATCGGTTAAAATTTGCTTACGAACAGGACTGGCATTGGTCTTTAGCAAATAGTTCTAAAATGTTCCATACACTTTTTAAAAAATCATTTAGTCTGGAGTTGTATTTGTCTGCTATCACTATCAACAAATTTCGTGTTGCACTAGCCCAGTTTCGCTGTAGCTCCCACACTCTCCATATTGAGACTGGTAGATACGTTAATACTCCACGAGAGCAGAGATTGTGCAATAGTTGCAGCCAAAGATATGTCGAGAAAGAATATCATTTTTTATTAATTTGTAACGCTTATGATGAACTTCGTCTTCAGTATTTACCACAGAAGTATTTTGACCATCCTACTCTTGCTAAATTCAATATGCTTATGGCGGTAAACAATGAAACTGTAATTAGAAATGTTGCAACTTTTATATACCATGCTATGAATGTTAGACTCCAAACACTAAGCCTATAAATGTTAATGATGGACCGAATATTGTACCATGGGCCGCTGGCCTACACATGTACATGAATAAAGAATTGAATATGTAAATACCCGCACTGAATTCAATGTTTGCTTATAAATACCCGCACTGAATTCAATGTTTGCTTGAAGCAACATGATGCCAGGGTTATCGTGGCCAACATACCCGTCAACAAAGCCAAGCAGGTCTTCTGTGAGGTAAGTCTCAACTGTTAGAGTTTACAATATTTACATTTCCTAAACTGTTACATGAAATAATTAACCATATTGATCCTGAAATCATTGTGCCAACATCAATCGGCAGGGAAGTTTATACTGAAGAAGAAAATAATACTATAATGCCCCTACGTCCATCGTTTTTACTTTTAAACAGAGATAAATATGTACCTACATATAGTAGTAACCTGTACATGACATGAAAATGACAAGCTATAAAATAGTTGACAATGTTCTGAAGATCAAGTTTTTAATTTATCGTGATCAATCTTTCTTTGTCCTTGAGATCGGATTTGTCCGAATTTAATGCAATATTCCTCCAGGCATACGCACGCGGAATGTGCGGGAAGAAGTATGTGTGGGTGATGCTAGGGTGGGAGGCCGGTAGCTGGTGGGACAACCCCTCCATCCCCTGCACCTGCTCAACCCAGGAGCTCAAGGTGAGATGGTGCTCCACAGTTAAACAGAAGAAGTGTATGCTCAAACGTCAGAGTTACTGACGTAAAGACTTAAGAGCACACATCATTTGATGTAAACTGCCGGGCAGAAGAAAATAAACACTTAAAAATTGGTTTTGAGCTAAACTTTACAAACGTCTTCAAAATGTTACTTGGCTGACAACAGGCGCCGAAACACTGTAAAAACGCACGGTCCAAAATACTATGTTACCCGCATCAAATACATAAATATCGAATAACAAGTTCTTGTTTGTTCCATGAGGACAACGATTTTTGAAATTACAGACTTGATATGATTTCTCTTCTGACCTCATTTAGTAGAAGAAGGTATGGACATATGGACAATGATGTGTTAAGAAGAGGTTTATAGACACGGGTTCACCTACAGTTGATAGTTTTCCTGGTTGAAACTAAAATATCCGTTTTCTCCCCATCCCTCTTTTGACATTGGTACCTCGATCCCATTCTACTTGTAATGCTTATCTTATGCAGGAGATCACTGATGGCATGATAATGATGGACTTCATGCACAGCGATGTAGGGACACAGGAAGCATTTGACGTGGTAAGGCTTGCGCGGAGGGATATTCATAATTACACAACAAGCGACTATTCTAGTGATGTAATGTATTACGATACACAGTATTTTGATGTGAGAGTATCTCATTTCACAACAAAGAATATAACATTCCAACTTTCTAATCTGATATAATACAACCAGTAAAGATACAATACAACTGTGAGGACTGCAGGTTGGTTTTCTTATATATGATGACGTATTTCGGGGGAAATGAAACAATTGTAATGTTCTATGGACTTGGTTCAATCTCATTAAAATCAGATCTTAGTTCTCGCTACCGCTAAATAAAGATCTTAGGACATCCCATTACGGGTCACACCAGACCGACCTTGCGCGAACTTTGACCGACCAATGGAATGACCAATCAGAAGGCAGCTCTCTCGTGCTTTAGGGCACATATTTCAAATTGGCGACTACGCTTCCAAACATATTTTGACAAATTCTCGATTGCAAATTTGAAAACTGAACAAAAAAACATTCTAGAAGGGCTAATGGATGATCTAGATTGTAAGGATTCAGTCGTTAAACATGTAACTATCGTTCGGAATACCCCGTTTTAAAGTTGTCGAGGCTGCATGATTAGAAATCACATTCCGACTGTCACTTTCATAATCTGGTAAGCGACGCTCTGATTGGTCGGATGAAAGGTCGTTCTGACGTGACCCTCAATGGGATGTCTTCAGATCTTTGTTTAGCGGTAGCGAGAACTAAGGTCTGATTTTAATGAGATTGGGACTTGGTTATACACTACATCATTAGGAACTTTAATTTTTCCTTAGTTAAGCATTGTTCGGGCCTATTTTCAAATGTTTCACGTTTACATTTTTTCCCCTACAGAATCCGACTGATTTCGAAGCATACATACGCCAGAAGTCATCCTATTACGATAAGTATGCAAGCTACGCCTTCGATGGAGCGATGAGCCTCGCTTTGACTCTCGACCAAGCGGCTAAAGAAGGCGTAACTCTCGAGACCTTCTGTTACAAGAACGAAACGTATGTGCGTACGTTCTCGCGCATCATGTCGGATCTCGTGTTCTATGGACTTACGGTACGTATGAAGTCAAATATCTCGTATTGGAGACTAATCGACTTTTATCTGTTTTTTTTATGAAAATTGGTATATAGATTGTTTATGTATTGATTAGAATACTAATATTTGTACCCACCGTATTGTTGCAGGGTAAAATAGGATATGACGCCAAAGGGAACAGGAAGGGACACACTTCAATCACGCAGATACAAGGTGAAGCTTTACAACACCTCCATGAGCAATATTCGTCCAACAATAATTCCTTGTGCTATATGACTATGTGACTGAAATAACACGTGAACCTGAGAGTAAAACTTTAGTTGCAAAATCTCAAACGCAGTCCAAAACAATGAATTCAATGTAGTTGGTTGGGCCAAATTATTTGTGCGGATTCTCCCGTCCCTTGTTTGGTTGAAATGACACCTAAGTATTAAAAGGAGATTCATTCAGAAAATGTCAAACGCAACCCAAGGCGATTAATTCAGTTTTCATATATTATATTTGTTAAATGGTCCCCCAAATTCGATTTTAATGTATTACTACTGACACCAGGGGATGAAAGGAAACTGATAGGAAAGTACTGTCCATTTGATAAGAAACTGACGCTGTATGACGACACTCCCATCAAGTGGAGAGGTGAGTAGTATCTATTTACTGAGACATGTATATGTCTAACTTACAAACAGAAGTATCATAATACTCAGGAACTTAATAGGTAAACTGTGAATTTGAGTAACAGCGTTTGTAAAATGCACACGGGCAGTAACATTTCTAATTTAAGTTCCGAAACATTCTTCTCTCAATTTTAGCCCTCGTTTCCTCGGGATAATCAAAATTTAAAACTGCTATTTTCTTTTGACAAAAAAATATCTCTTTTAGAAACCGAAGGGCTAACTATTTTGCGATCACTCTCATAACGTTTGATAGGTTGCCCTTCTTGTTTATGACTGCGGTGTATATATGTGTATATCTTAGAATGGAATGTACATATCCATGCACATTAATTATGCCAGCTGTCATATGATCATCTGAAATTGACATCAGACTTACATCTATAAACTGGGATAATGTTTAATAAACCTGGCCTTTGGGAAAATAACTGCAGTATCGATGTGTTTCTTTTTATTCCAAAGCATACAAGGTGATCTCTATACCATAAGAGACTTTTTATGATAAAATATTAATGGAGAGTAGTGTCATGACTATGAAAAGACGTAACGATGGAATACTGAGTTTGAAATTGCTTTGGTGCAGGGGGTGGCATTCCAAAAGACGGATTCTCGCGCGAGAGGAGGACACAACACTTACCACACGGGGCTCTTGTTGCGTTTGTGTGTATCGGGGTAACTGGGGCCCTGGTTTGTGTGGCGTTCCTCATCTTCAACATCAAGAACAGGAAGCATGGGTAAGTAATCACAGTAAGTTCTTATTTTGAATGTAGAATAAATTACCTATTTGCCTTGAACCCATCGATGTCGCTGAACAATATTTCGACAGAAACTAGCTGTCAAGATGGATCATTTGTTGTTTCTGAGTGTGATAATAGAGTCTGATTTTTGGTGTTTTATTTAGAAACAATTTGTTTTATGCACAGAATATTCCGCAACTTTTTTACAGACCCCGAAACATGCCCATTTTGGATGTCACAAAAATATGTTCGTGCAACGCAACACAATTATGTGAAATTGGTTAGATTTTATATTTTGTTTTTCTCAGACAAAGTATAACTACCTACTGACAGACAGACATGCCAATTTTGTAATTTATCATATTTTTGTATTATGAGGGAAGGCGGTGTGTATGTGTGTGGTGGTGGTGGTGGGGGGGGGGGGGGGGCATCACTGATTTTAAGTGATCCATTCAAATACTTCTCACCGCTATTTTGCCTTTTAGGCCCAATGAAATCTGTTTCGGCAGAAAATCAAGACTGGTTATTCTCTGGCGTTGACGTTCAATATTTATACTGTGGCCTTCCGTTCTATCAGAAAGTGGGCTCTCGAACTATGTACTATTGACCATGCTATGGTCCTTTATTGATTGTTTCATCTTGTTTGTCCAAACTTCTGTAGCCACTTTACTTTCGACAAATTAGCCAAATTGTCCAAATGAAAGTCCCACATGTGGTGTCATGTGTCAAGAGGGCGTGCCCTCTCCAGGTGCAGCAAGGATAAACCAGATCACACTGGCGGTGAAGGTCGTTGTATCTGTAACTAGATATACCAGGTGTTGAAGTACTGTAGGGGCGAGGTCAGTCATATGATTCTCTTTGCACTGTCACTTGATATATTTACTGACTTACATTTTTTTCTACTTTGAATGGAGAAATAGTTTAAGTGAGAGAGTGACATATATATATATATATATATATATATATATATATATATATATATATACTCACACGCAAAAGAAACGCAAGTGGTTTTAAGCAAATAGGTAACAAACACGGACGGAACCATAAATTGATACGAGTTTTAGCATGTAGTGAAGCCTGATGGTGTTATCAATATTTTTGGTTGCATTTTGGAAGCCCCGAGTAAAAACGCAACATAAAAAACGAATCGCCAAAACGTACCATTTCAATGAATGTGTGGGTATCATGCACCCATTTCTCGCGAAATCGAACATGCACGAACTGTCACGAACTGTAGTGGCTATAAAACTGTGGCCGATTCTTGGACCTACCACTCCTTGGTCAACAATGCGACGCCTAACTCAAATTCAGAGAAACCAGGCTATCGGACGTTTGGAAGTTGGAGAGTCTGTCCAAGATGTTGCCCGTCATTTCAACGTTAACATAACCACAATTTACCGTCTCCTGCATCGATACAATGCTACACAGACCACAGATGACCTTCCTCGGAGCGGTCGTCCAGGGTCACCACACCTCGACAAGGTCGACAGTTTACCCGTCAACATCCGTTCCTAACTGCAAGTGAAAGTGATCGACAGACCATAGGAACACATAATCGACACATTAGCCGGGACATTGTGATCCGACGTCTCCGTTCCAACAACCTCAGATGTCGCCATGTGCTTTCTGAATGTTGGTCAAGGTCGGAGACACGGCGTCACTGCTCAGTGGTATATCGACCAAGTGATCAGACCCCACGTTGTTCCATTTTTTGCACAACATCAACAACACATTTTCCAGCAGGAAAACGCTCGTCCCCATGTTGCCAGAGCTACCATGGCCTTTCTGCAACAACACAACATCCGTGTTCTAGGTTGGCCAGCCCTCAGCCCTGATCTGAACCCCATCGAACACTTGTGGGATGAGGTTCAAGGGCGTCTGCACAATGTGCGCCCAGTCCCTACAACTGCCGATGAACTACGCACAGCTGCTCTGGATGTGTGCAGGAGGATCCCTAGGGCCTTCACAAATCGTCTGATCCACTCAATGTACAGGAGATGTGTGGCAGTGATCAATGCTAATGGTGGTCACACCAGGTATTGACTGACATTTTGGGTATTGACCTGAAACTGTGTAAGCCCTCAACATTTGAAAAAAAACAATTATGTCATCTGCCTTTTAATCCATTAAACTGTCTTCAGTTAAATTTTTGTCAATCTTGCCCTATTAGTATTTCTTGTCTTTACTGTTGAAAATAAATAACATGTATACTGCATACTCGACTTGCGTTTCTTTTGCGTGTGGGTATATATTACACAAATAGGTGGGTTTGACTGTTTTCAAGACATTATTTCAAGTCAGTGTTTTGAGCAAAGGTATTATGTGCTTTGATGTGTATTCTCCTACTGACATGTGCATAACGTGTCTGTGTTTCAGCTACATCAAACTCTCCGCGCCTGCTATAAACAATGCCATCCTAATTGGGTGCATCTTGGCCTATAGTGCTCTGATCCTTAATGGTGTGGACGGTCGAGTCGTCGTACCTGACAACCTTGGCCTTGTCTGTAATGTGAGTTTCAAGTTTATGATATCATTATACTTATATGAGTTGCTTATTAGATCCAGTTTAACGGGGTGGGGTAGCATAGTGGTTAAAGCGTTCGCTCGTCACTCCGAAGACCATGTGTGAAGCCCATTGTGAAGCCCATGTGTGAAGCTGTGACATTGCTGGAATGTTGAGGCGTAAAACCATATTCTGTCACTCCAGTTTAGGTATCATAAGTACAAATATACATGTACATTGAAATATCGAAACTCCCATTAATTCATTGACATGATGCTAAGTTCAGGATTGTTATTACCCCGGTCCCCAAGTCGACATGTGCAAAGAAATAACAAAGAAATTCCATCCCTTTACAACACATACCTAAACTATGGATATCGAGCCCATATTAACTGTGTGACCCGTGAAGATCCGGGGAAGAATAGGTCTTCAGCAACCCAAGCTTGCCATAAAAGGCGACTGTGCTTGTCGTAGGAGGCGACTAACGGGATCGGGTGGTCAGGCTCGCTGACTTGGTTGATGCATGTCATCGATCCCAATTGCGTGGATCGATGCTCATGATGTCAATCACTGAATTGTCTGGTCCAGACTCGATTATTTACAGACCGCCGTCATATAGCTGGAATATTGCTGAGTGCGGCGTTAAACAACAAACCAACCAACCAACCAATATTAACTGTTTGTTGTCAGGTCCGGGTGGTTGTGTTGGCCATGGCGTTTACAATTGCGTTTGGGGCGATGTTCACAAAGACTTGGCGACTGCATCAGATCGTGGCTAACAAAACAGCATGCAAACGGGTACGTACGTTATAGCATTCGGTAGTGATATCTAATTCGTGCAAGTATCATGTGGAAGGGTTCTTCGACCCGTGAAGATCCGGGGTAGATTAGGTCTTCAGCAACCCATGCTTGCCGTAAAAGGCGACTGTGCTTGTCGTAAGAGGCGACTAACGGGATCGGGTGGTCAGGCTCGCTGACTTGGTTGATGCATGCCATCGATCCCAATTGCTTGGATCGATGCTCATCATATCAATCACTGGATTGTCTGGTCCAGACTCGATTATTTACAGACCGCCGTCATATAGCTGGAATATTGCTGAGTGCGGCGTTAAAAAACAACAACCAAACCAAGCCCAAAAATGTTTCTTCCGGATCCAGGATCCGGGGGTCATGGGTTCGAATCTCAGATTACTTAAGGCCTTCAAGCAGCATATCCCTGCATGTGGTGATAGAACTGACATACTGTTTGAATCAGCGTGGAACTTGAACAAACTCAACCCATGCGCCCCGCGTTATAATACATTGCGAATTACTTTTGATTTTCTGATGCTAGGTATAATTCACTAGACATTGAACCTTTCAGTTAGTGTTTGACCATCTGATGGTCAATCGATCATCAGATAGTGTTGACTTTTTCCTGACTCGGTATGTCATGTCGTATTCAGTGTAAAGTAGTCATGTTCGGTTTGTACTGCAGTGGAGACCCGTGAAGACTATTCTTGTCGTAAGAGGCAACTAACGGGATCGAGTGGTCAGACTCGGTGACTTGGGTTGATGCATGTAATCGTATCCCAATTGCTCATGATCTCAATCACTGGATTGTCTGGTCTATACTCGATTATGTACAGGCCGCCGTCATATAGCTGGAATATTGCTAATTGCGGCGTTAAACAACAAACAAACTGCAAATGAATGATTTTGATCTCCCTTCATAAAAAACGAGACCCCCCTCCCAGAATAGTAAATGGTAGGTCCCTAATGAAAATCATGAATCATTATAAATATGTGTGTGTGTAGGTTGTTAAGGACTTAGGCTTGGTGACCAGCATTGCGACGCTATTGGGAATAGATGGGATAATTCTCATCACTTGGTTCACTCAAGATCCCCTCGACCGCTCCATCATCAAGCTGCCGGAACAGGTAGGTAACTCGTCATGTATCGTTGTCGACGTAGTGGCAGCCGTTGTGAAGGAAAAGAGAAGTAGAAATCTCAATATTGTCGTAGTCGCAGTCGTTGTTGTAGCTGCACTCCTATGGTGGGTATCCGGGTTAGAACAGGACCCAAGCACTCAATTGCTTGTGGTGAGGCTTGAGGCGACTTTATTGGATCAGATTGTCAGACTCTTGGCGTGGGTCTTTGTTGACAATATCACCCATGGTTTGTTTGACCTAGTTACGATCCTGCTAAAATATTACTGACTTTGGCGTAAAAAATAAGGAAACGGTAAAGTATTAACAGTAGAACTAGTCTTAGTTGCAGGAAAGACATCTAATAGTAATCAAAGGTGGCAGTCGCTGTATAATAGGAGAAGTGCCAGGAACTGGCAGCAAGTCCCTGCCATCTTCCTCACATGGAAGCTTGGAGGACTTAATATCATGTTAATATCAGGGGTTCTTTAACTTCTTTTGTGCAGTATATATTGATTTGAAGTGACTTCAATGAGCGAACGCGCAGATGATAAGTGGAAAGCAGGTTGTCGTCCACAGTAATGATAACGTACTCTCAATTGGCTGCAACTTTCCCACACGCCCCATGCAAATCATCCTTATTGTATACCTTTCGATTTCGATAAGATCGATAATGGATAGAATGACTTTCTCTGTAATTATGTTATCGATGCGCATTACATCCTCCCAGTTAAAATCATATGGTCGTAGATAATCACTCTAATTAGGTTCAGAGCCAGCCGAACCTTGGCTGTTTTCAAGGTTGATGCCCTAAGTGGAAGTTCCCCATCACACGCGCACCATGGAACCATGGTTAGACATTGATAAACTGTACACTTTCTGATAAAGAGTTTAGAAATAGCGCGAGTGTATTAATGAAGAAAGGGCGATGTACTGTGGTATTACACAGAGAAGATTGAGAGTTGTTCAATGGAAATGGCTGTTGACAACCAGTCATCAAATGACTACATGGATGAGGATGAAAGCGTCAGAGACCGACCTTTGATATTCTCCGGGTGTGGGATGGGGAGCCGGCTTGGATTTTATCTAAAAAAATAATTTTCCCCAAAAATCTTGAGAAATATTATTATGCTTCATACTGTTGAAAAAAATAGAAATTGCCTCCCTCCAAAATTACATTTTTGCAAGGTGTTTCAAATAGCTGTAGCTGAAAAAATATCTTATCTCGATACAAAATCCAAGACGACCCCTGAGAATATCAAACGGTCGGTCCCTCACAATGACAGCTTTCAGAGGGCCTAGCGAACCTTTAGGACGAGTTGGGTAAGAGCCATGTTTGACACACAGATTCTGCATTATTTTAGGGTTAAGAAGAACTTTTAGAAATGTGTTCGTGTGAATTGAAAAACAGCCTCCTACTTTCTTCCGTTTAACACTTGAGTGCATTACAACAATTAATGTATAGATAAGGCTAAACTGTGTCGAAAGGGCTGATATTAGATGTTTTCAGGAAGCGTACTGAAGGAAGAGATGCAGATAAAAACAGTAGCCTACTGACATGTGGTGAAAAACATCATGGTCACTGACCATGTTCCACTACATCATAGCCTAGGTTCCACACTCGGGAAGAAGGTCACTGATGTGCTCATATGTATCGGTTCTTATCAGCTGGGAAAAAAAGCGGCCCTATCAGTGCCTGTCGCTCATGTTAGCCATTCTTATGTAATTGGCAATGTAAGAAAGAAAAAAAGGTCATTTGAATGTCTGACAATTTGCAAATGCACACTTTACGTGTCTGTATAGAAGTATGAGATATAGTTACTGCCAACCGTCAAGAATAGCATGAGTGATTGGAAGATGCTTTTCACGTTATGTAGGAAATAGTACTGTCTGCATTATTCTGAATGACCGAGGATAACCATATGAATGTGATGTGGCCTACTCACTTAAATGCCAGTAGATGTTACAACAGTGTCATTTCAAGAATAGTCATTGTCATTTCTTACACAGTCGGACCCATCTGATAGCGACCGCCTGATTCAGCCACTGCTTGAAGTCTGCTCGTGCAAATATGGAGGTAATAGTGAACGCATCTAAAAGTACGATATGTTCATAGTAGAAATCGTCCCGTGACCTAATCATTAATTTCAACACACCTCAATACAACATTCCAGACCCATTCCAACATTCCAATACATCCACATAGTACCTTGTCTAAGAGCCGACCACAAGGGACAGGTGGTTACAATGTGTGACGTCATTGCCCCCTACGGTGTGCTCATGTGATCAACCGACCCGTGAAGATCCGGGTTGAGAATAGCTCATCAGCAGGCCATGCTTGCCGTAACAGGCGACTATTCTTGTCATAAGAGGCGACAAACGGGATCGGCTGGTACGGCTCGCTGACTTGGTTGATGCATGTCATCGTATCCAAGTTGCGTAGATCGATGCTCATGATGTCAGTCACTGGATTGCCTGGCCCAGACTCGATTATTTACAGCCCGCCGTCATATAGCTGGAATATTGCTGAGTGCGGCGTTAAACAACAAACAAACAAACAACATTTGATCAACCTCTAGTCAGCATGATCATGTACAAGCCGCTGTGGTATTGCTGGGATATTGATGACTGTTGATTGCCGCTCACTCTTTATACATTCACATGAATACATAAATATATCAAATCATATCAAATATTACCTAGGAACACAAACACAAAAACTTTTCATTTCCATAATCCAATCCAAAATTTGTTTTTTCGTAATGATAAAGATACAGGACAATTCATAAGCTCCAGTCTAAATGTACTATGAAATATAGCCACCACTTAAATTCAGCTAAATATTGTTGATGAATTTTTTTTCAACAAGCCAGATAATAGTTAATAATGGATTGTATTTTCCTCGAGGTTACTGGGTGGCGGTTCTTCTGGCATTCAAGGGCTTGCTACTGCTGTTTGGACTGTTTCTCACCTGGCAGACACGTCACATCTCTATTGATGCTATCAATGACAGCAGGTGCGTCATCCCCGTATCTGTAAAATATCTGTAGATCAGTTCAACGTGTGAGGCAGGGCTTGTTTAGTCGTTTCAGACGCCTGGATTCGCTGTGTCGAGGTGCGTCACATAGGTGTGCCAGAAACTTATTATCGCGGGTTCGAATCCCGATTCGCCCTGAATATTTTTCTAGGTTTTCTGGGTTTTAAATCTTCAAAAGCCCTGCGTCGATTCAGGCTTCCTGCTCATCAAACTGACATGCCGTGATATAACTGAAATAGCGTTCAAAGTAGCGTTTGGCTCATCTCACACACACACTCGGTTCAACGTGTGTTCAACATCTACGTGACACTGGTTGCATCCACACTTATAGTTGGTGTTATATCGATTTGGTATACCCTCTGATCTGGCTCCAACGACTCCATGGTGATTTCGGGGCAGAATAGGGCCACATTACCCTTTCCTGTCGTAAAGCCGACTGGTGATGATCAGGTGGGTACAATGGACGACCAGGCTGAGAGCGTTTCAATCGTGCCCGGGCGGCGTGGGTCATTTCTCAGTTCTTAACTACGAATCGGTCTGGCGACGCCTATATACATGAAGCCATCATTTAGCTCTGGCATTGCTGACTAGTGTTAGTCAACAACATGCTGACAGGATTATCTGATTCGTCCTGACTGCGTTTCTAGGTTTGTCAGAACCATACCCGTGCTCGTGGGTTTCCCCAAAGTGGTAAACGTCTTGGACCTGCAGCACTTTGGCCTTTTCAAACAGCAAGTTGACACGCCATGATATAACTGGAATACTGTCAAAGCGGCCTTAAACCCAACATTGTTATCTGCATGCAGGTACAGCCGAATGAGTGTGTACACCGTGGCCCTGGTATCACTGATTGGTGTTCCCGTCTTCTACCTCCTGGGGGTGAACAACATCGCCGCTGTTTACGTCATCTCTCCAATCTGCATCATCGTGTGTTCGTCCGTAACCATCAGCCTGATATTTGTCCCAAAGGTGAGTTCGTTCCAATCATGTTGCGTTGGACCAGCCAAGTCGCTGTTCTTAAATTTTGGAGTTAGTGGAAGGGGAGAGGGTGTCAACAGGTCTGCATTTTTACTTTACAGGGAATTTGCAGTTCAAAACTCTAATCGTCATATTTTATTCTTTGAAGGAAATGCATCTCCGCAGAAGGCTAAAAAAACTAGTTGAGTTAATAAACAGTCAAGTTGGCATACTCAAGGCTCTGCCGCACTACCAGCTTTATCAATCTCATTAAAATCAGATCTTAGTTCTCGCTACCGCTAACCAAAGATCTGAGGACATCCCATTTGGGGTCATGTCAGAACGACCTTGCATCCGACCAATCAGAGCGTCGCTTACCAGATCATGAAAGTGACAGTCGGAATGTGATTTCTCATCATGCAGCCTCGAAAACTTTAAAACGGGGTATTCCGAACGATAGTTTTCAAATTTTTAAGCGAGAATTTGTCAAAATATGTTTCGATGCGTTGTCGCCAATTTAAAATTAGTGCCGTAAAGCACGAGAAAGCTGCCTTTTGATTGGCTAATGTCGACTTCTTGTCAGTAATTCCATTGGTCGGTCAGAGTTTGCGAAAGGTCGGTCTGACGTGACCCGTCCTCAGATCTTTGTTTAGCGGCAGCGAGAACTAAGATCTGATTTTAATGAGATTGCCAGATTTATGAAAATGTCAACATTCCTACGAACACGGAGAGACATCTCTCTAAACATTGATCTTTTGAACTGCTCGCTAGCAGAGTTCGGCTCTAACGTTGTGTTGCAGATGCACGCTGTGTGGAAGGACCCTAACGGCGTCATCGACAACAAGCTGCTGAGCGGGGTCGATGTTAAGCAGGTTGTCCCCATTGACACTCTCACCCAGAAGATGGAGACAAGGTCCCGACTGGAGGTCTTGCTGTTGGAGGTATGTCTTGCAGGAAGAAACTGCAACGTTCACACTGAATTGAATACATACGGGTTAAATAGCCATTATATGTGGCAATACGTGATAAGGTTTCAGAAACAGAGCGTATTCTCAGCAATCTCATCTCATTGAAATCGGATCTTTTACTTCGATACGATACATCTCCCGAAACACCTCCACAGGAGAACTTTCTTCTCAGCCAATTAGCCTCTTCTAATTTTTCCTAAAGTTTTCTCAATTCTTGGTACGAGTGAGCGATACATTCACACTAAATATCACCCGCAGTCAGCCCTAAGCAATGAGGCTGATATATTTGTTTTCTGTGGCGGTTTTCACTTTGATCGAATCGAAGTGACGATGAAATGTTGCGGAATGTTTGAGATTTTGTTGGAGACAGACCTATGACAGATAATTTCATTTATCACTTGTGTAAGATAAACTCCTTTTATCTGAGGCCATGGGTGGTAAGGTTTCTTAAGGCGATGCTATTCGCCGTGCAGACTTACATCCAGTAATTGTGCCAGGATCCGCTTCATATTGGTAACTATCCCATATTCGCCGCCTCTGTTATCAGCACCTTACCTTTGGCGTTTATCGTCTTCAATCCGTGATTTCCCTCACACATGAAGCTGACAACCTCGATATAACTGAAATACATTTCAGAGGGGCGGTAATATCAAATCGCTCATTCAAATCACTTTGTTCATGCATGAAAACTCATTTTGCTATTTGTAGAAGGAGTCACGTATCCAGCAACTGGAACAAGCCCTGAACAGCTCCCTCACATCCAGTACAGCCTGAACGACTCCCTCACACAGTACAGCCTGAGCGACTCCCTCACATCCAGTACAGCCTGAACGACTCCCTCACATCCAGTACAGCCTGAACGACTCCCTCACATCCAGTACAGCCTGAACGACTCCCTCACACCCAGTACAGCCTGAACGACTCTCTCACATCCAGTACAGCATGAACGACTCCCTCACATCCAGTACAGACTGAACGACTCTCTCACATCCAGTACAGCCTGAACGACTCCCTCACATCCAGTACAGCCTGAACGACTCCCTCACATCCAGTACAGCCTGAACGACTCTCTCACATCCAGTACAGCCTGAACGACTCCCTCACATCCAGTACAGCCTGAACGACTCCCTCACATCCAGTACAGCCTGAACGACTCCCTCACATCCAGTACAGCCTGAACGACTCCCTCACACCCAGTACAGCCTGAACGACTCCCTCACATCCAGTACAGCCTGAACGACTCCCTCACATCCAGTACAGCCTGAACGACTCCCTCACACCCAGTACAGCCTGAACGACTCCCTCACACCCAGTACAGCCTGAACGACTCCCTCACATCCAGTACAGCCTGAACGACTCTCTCACATCCAGTACAGCCTGAACGACTCCCTCACATCCAGTACAGCCTGAACGACTCCCTCACATCCAGTACAGGCTGAACGACTCCCTCACATCCAGTACAGCCTGAACTCCCTCACATCCAGTACAGCCTGAACGACTCCCTCACACAGTACAGCCTGAACGACTCTCTCACACCCAGCACAGCCTGAACTCCTTCACATCCAGTACAGCCTGAATGACTCCCTCACACAGTACAGCCTGAACGACTCCCTCACATCCAGTACAGCCTGAACGACTCCCTCACACCCAGCACAGCCTGAACGACTACCTAACACCCAGTACAGCCTGAACGACTCCCTCACACAGCACAGCCTGAACGACTACCTCACATTCAGTACAGCCTGAACGACTCCCTCACACAGTACAGCCTGAACTCCTTCACATCCAGTACAGCCTGAACGACTCCCTCACATCCAGTACAGCCTGAACTACTCCCTCACATCCAGTACAGCCTGAACTACTCCCTCACATTCAGTACAGCCTGAACGACTCCCTCACATCCAGTACAGCCTGAACGACTCTCTCACACCCAGTACAGCCTGAACTACTCCCTCACATCCAGTACAGCCTGAACTACTCCCTCACATTCAGTACAGCCTGAACGACTCCCTCACATCCAGTACAGCCTGAACGACTCTCTCACACCCAGTACAGCCTGAACTACTCCCTCACATCCAGTACAGCCTGAACTACTCCCTCACATTCAGTACAGCCTGAACGACTCCCTCACATCCAGTACAGCCTGAACGACTCTCTCACATCCAGTACAGCCTGAACGACTCTCTCACACCCAGTACAGCCTGAACTACTCTCTCACATCCAGTACAGCCTGAACGACTCCCTCACATCCAGTACAGCCTGAACGACTCCCTCACATCCAGTACAGCCTGAACGACTCCCTCACATCCAGTACAGCCTGAACGACTCCCTCACACCCAGTACAGCCTGAACGACTCCCTCACATCCAGTACAGCCTGAACGACTCCCTCACATCCAGTACAGCCTGAACGACTCCCTCACACCCAGTACAGCCTGAACGACTCCCTCACACCCAGTACAGCCTGAACGACTCCCTCACATCCAGTACAGCCTGAACGACTCTCTCACACCCAGTACAGCCTGAACGACTCCCTCACATCCAGTACAGGCTGAACGACTCCCTCACATCCAGTACAGCCTGAACTCCCTCACATCCAGTACAGCCTGAACGACTCCCTCACACAGTACAGCCTGAACGACTCTCTCACACCCAGCACAGCCTGAACTCCTTCACATCCAGTACAGCCTGAATGACTCCCTCACACAGTACAGCCTGAACGACTCCCTCACATCCAGTACAGCCTGAACGACTCCCTCACACCCAGCACAGCCTGAACGACTACCTCACACCCAGTACAGCCTGAACGACTCCCTCACACAGCACAGCCTGAACGACTACCTCACATTCAGTACAGCCTGAACGACTCCCTCACACAGTACAGCCTGAACTCCTTCACATCCAGTACAGCCTGAACGACTCCCTCACATTCAGTACAGCCTGAACTACTCCCTCACATTCAGTACAGCCTGAACGACTCCCTCACATCCAGTACAGCCTGAACGACTCTCTCACACCCAGTACAGCCTGAACGACTCTCTCACACCCAGTACAGCCTGAACTACTCTCTCACATCCAGTACAGCCTGAACGACTCCCTCACATCCAGTACAGCCTGAACGACTCTCTCACACCCAGTACAGCCTGAACGACTCTCTCACACCCAGTACAGCCTGAACGACTCCCTCACATCCAGTACAGCCTGAACGACTCTCTCACATCCAGTACAGCCTGAGCGACTCCCTCACATCCAGTACAGCCTGAACGACTCTCTCACATCCAGTACAGCCTGAACTACTCCCTCACATCCAGTACAGCCTGAACGACTCCCTCACATCCAGTACAGCCTGAACGACTCTCTAATACCCAGTACAGCCTGAACGACTCCCTCACACCCAGTACAGCCTGAACGACTCCCTCACATCCAGTACAGCCTGAACGACTCCCTAATACCCAGTACAGCCTGAACGACTCCCTCACACCCAGTACAGCCTGAACGACTCCCTCACACAGTACAGCCTGAACGACTCCCTCACACAGTACAGCCTGAACGACTCCCTCACATCCAGTACAGCCTGAACGACTCCCTCACATCCAGTACAGCCTGAACGACTCCCTAATACCCAGTACAGCCTGAACGACTCCCTCACACCCAGTACAGCCTGAACGACTCCCTCACACAGTACAGCCTGAACGACTCCCTCACACCCAGTACAGGCTGAACGACTCCCTCACATCCAGTACAGCCTGAACGACTCCCTCACATCCAGTACAGCCTGAACGACTCTCTCACACCCAGTACAGCCTGAACTACTCCCTCACACAGTACAGCCTGAACGACTCCCTCACACAGTACAGCCTGAACTCCTTCACATCCAGTACAGCCTGAACGACTCCCTCACATCCAGTACAGCCTGAACGACTCCCTCACATCCAGTACAGCCTGAACTACTCCCTCACATTCAGTACAGCCTGAACGACTCCCTCACATCCAGTACAGCCTGAACGACTCCCTCACACAGTACAGCCTGAACTCCTTCACATCCAGTACAGCCTGAACGACTCCCTCACATCCAGTACAGCCTGAACGACTCCCTCACATCCAGTACAGCCTGAACGACTCTCTCACATCCAGTACAGCCTGAACGACTCTCTCACATCCAGTACAGCCTGAACGACTCTCTCACACCCAGTACAGCCTGAACTACTCCCTCACACAGTACAGCCTGAACGACTCCCTCACATCCAGTACAGCCTGAACGACTCCCTCACACCCAGCACAGCCTGAACGACTACCTCACACCCAGTACAGCCTGAACGACTCCCTCACATCCAGTACAGCCTGAACGACTCCCTCACACCCAGTACAGCCTGAACGACTCCCTCACACCCAGTACAGCCTGAACTACTCCCTCACATCCAGTACAGCCTGAACGACTCCCTCACATCCAGTACAGCCTGAACGACTCCCTCACATCCAGTACAGCCTGAACTACTCCCTCACACCCAGTACAGCCTGAACGACTCCCTCACACCCAGTACAGCCTGAACGACTCCCTCACACCCAGTACAGCCTGAACGACTCCCTCACACCCAGTACAGCCTGAACGACTCCCTCACATCCAGTACAGCCTGAACGACTCCCTCACATCCAGTACAGCCTGAACGACTCTCTCACATCCAGTACAGCCTGAACTACTCCCTCACACCCAGTACAGCCTGAACGACTCCCTCACATCCAGTACAGCCTGAACGACTCTCTCACATCCAGTACAGCCTGAACGACTCCCTCACATCCAGTACAGCCTGAACGACTCCCTCACACCCAGTACAGCCTGAACGACTCCCTCACACCCAGTACAGCCTGAACGACTCCCTCACACCCAGTACAGCCTGAACGACTCCCTCACATCCAGTACAGCGTGAACGACTCCCTCACACCCAGTACAGCCTGAACGACTCCCTCACACAGTACAGCCTGAACTCCTTCACATCCAGTACAGCCTGAGCGACTCCCTCACATCCAGTACAGCCTGAACGACTCCCTCACATCCAGTACAGCCTGAACGACTCTCTCACATCCAGTACAGGCTGAACGACTCCCTCACACCCAGTACAGCCTGAACGACTCCCTCACATCCAGTACAGCCTGAACGACTCTCTCACACCCAGTACAGCCTGAACGACTCCCTCACATCCAGTACAGCCTGAACGACTCCCTCACATCCAGTACAGCCTGAACGACTCTCTCACATCCAGTACAGCCTGAACGACTCCCTCACACCCAGTACAGCCTGAACGACTCCCTCACATCCAGTACAGCCTGAACGACTCTCTCACACCCAGTACAGCCTGAACTACTCTCTCACATCCAGTACAGCCTGAACTACTCTCTCACACCCAGTACAGCCTGAACGACTCTCTCACACCCAGTACAGCCTGAACTACTCTCTCACACCCAGTACAGCCTGAACGACTCCCTCACATCAAGTACAGCCTTGAACGGCTGTTGACATTCCGATTATTTTCTAAACCTGTTTTAATGACTAGGTTCGTTCACTGTCTGTTTTGCCGCACCGGTCACCCTGTCTTCGCGACACTATTGGTCGTGGCGTTTTGGTGTGGTGTATTGTTTAAGTTGTCTTGAAGCTGTCCGTCGTTCTGTTGTTTGTACACTATTTAAAGATACAAAGATTGTTTGACTAGATGACATCGCAGTCACACAGCATCCTTCAACATTAGTGAACTAATGCACTTGTTATGATCATATCTAAAAATAGGCGAGAATGGGAAAGTGATAATTATTTAAAATATGAAAAGGGAAGGCTGACACTGAATAGATTTGACACAAATGGACACATGGCATATACCACAGTAAAAACGTAGGGCCCTGCCCTAAAGTTTTAAAAAAGAATTTGGCATGCTTTACTCGGTTCAGGTTCCACATTTTTAGTGTAAATTTCCATTCAGAATTTGGACTTTTGTATGTAACCCGCCCCGATGACCGCATTGCCGTTCGTGATTTTCATACGACAGATTGGGGTGTTTTAAAGCCCTGGACGGGCGTTTTTGTAAAATGGTTAAGATACACAAAAAAACTTGAACAAAAATTCGACCACCTACCCATTTTGGTTTTTAAAAAGTGATGCGAAACAATATTTTTGTTAATATGGCCTTACACGGTATGGCTTCATGAAGTCTGCATATTCCACACTTATAAGACGATATAGACTGTAAGTTCATGTTTGTTGTTCCTCACACCCTTACTATTCCATCCATGCCACGTAGTGATGTAGTACACTGTTGCTGTGAACACCTGTTTGTTCTGAGCACCAAATGTAATGGGTCATGGTGACTGTCAAAGACGCCGCACTGCACAGTGGCATTATGGTTGTGGTAATGGGTTCGAATCCCAGATTCCCGTCGTTCACGATCCTTGGTCTGCTAGCACCACACCCGTGTTTGTAAATTTCATCAGAGTGGTAAAGGTCTGACACCGTGTCTCACGGCAAGATGTATCCATTAGTGGCATTACACAGAAGCATGTGTGCTATTTCACGATTTTGCACACAAAAGACCAACTATCTGAAATATACGTCGACTTCGCAGACCA